GAATACGATTCGAGGGGGGTGTCAGATTTACGTCTAGTATTCGACCCTTTACGGCTTTATTGGTTCATCCAGAAGCCTCCTGTACGGCGATGTTCCTCTACGAGGTCTACAAGTAAACACCGCCTTCATACGTCTATTCTGGCGCTAGGTATCCCATTGGTACTTTTAGCGCTCACGCATTCGTGTGGCTCCGCGTTCATCGCATAGGGCCACGTTCATTGCTTACGTAGCCGTCCTGCATTACCGTGGGACTTGGACTGCATAGTAGTTACGAATACGGTAGTGACTTCACACGCTCCTGTCATATATATACAGTCGCTACCATGAATATCATCTAAGTCTTCTCTTTCCACCGAACGACTACCATCGTCAGCCTACCAGCTACCAAGCTACCTACTCAACCTCCAACACTAACTGCCCGGTGAGTTCGCGCTTTCATAGACTTCCCAGCTATACTCGCGATCGTCCTTTGTCAGCGCGAGGAGGTGGGAATACCAGAAGGTGTCCTCCGCATCGTCTTTTTATGCGCGATCCTGGTCCCGATGGGAGCCAAACCTTGGGAGTAAGTACCACACACCATCGCTTGCCGTTACAATGGAGGTGAATTTCTGAATTCATATGTTGCTTACCTGCTGACAACAGCATGATCATGCGCTCTGGCTAGGGAGACGACAGGTTCATTATGCAAAACCCCAGAGAGATGTTCTATAACGATGTCGAAGAAACCGAACGTCAGAAGTTCATAGACTTATTGATGCCATCATCGAGCGTGGCCACGGCGGGAGATCCTGAGTACGACGCGTACAACCACCATCCAGTGTCGTACCTGTTCTGCCAGAAAGACAAATTTGCAACACATGGCCCTTTGACAAGCAGGAAAATCAAAGGAGAGATATACTGAACAAACTGGAGGACGGCTTCCATAGTTACACAATTGAAGGTGGAGGACATTCACCATACATATCTAACCCACAGGTAGTCATCGACTTGATAAACCACGCTATAAACTCACTGTAGTACTTCAATATACAGTAAATGGACAACAGCCAACAGCCAATTCACCCTGTTTCTCTTATTCCACCTTGATTTCTCAGCCACTGTGCTATGTTTGCCCATCCAATCATCAGAATCAGAGTCGAAGTTGTCAGCTGTGAAGGTTGACCGGATCTAGACAATATCATTAACTGAATGGTCAGACTGCACCTCATCTATGTTCTTTTCAGCGTTTGAATAGGGTTCACGCTTTCGTTCTATGACCTTGAGTGGGGTGAGTGGTGACCAACAGTGGATGAAACCCTTATACACTCGCGTGGCTGCGTGTACAGCAAGCGTACGGACAAGGCTTATCCCTCCCAGGCGCTTTAATGCGAGCCTGACGGATTTGCAGTTCTTCTAGGGCACGTCTTCCTAGTCACTTTTATTATTCACTCATTGAAGCTTTAGATAAACTCGTGTTTTTTCCTGGAAGTTCGCATTATTAAACCTGAGCCATCTGATGCGTGTCATATCATACATTTGCATGCTTATACTGAGAGCTCAACACTGCAAACTCTAGGGTTTCGACCAGCTCTTCTCCACCAGAGGATTCTCCTCCAGACACTTGAGCTGCGTGGTATTCCCGGATGCTAAGCATCATAAGTGGCCCGAGCATAGAAACATAGAAGGTATAGCAGATGTTTGGGATAACATCAGAGAACGCCAGATTTATAACAAAATCGGGCTAGGAAACTTAAGGTAAGACTTTGAACCATTCTGTTATCAGAGGAAATCACACGTACGGAGTAAATGTACGACGAGATGGCTTCTAAAACCAACCCACAGAAGGCCCTATTATATCATTCAACACTATCCCTTTAAATCTGAATACCATGTCTTACGCAAAGAAGTAGAACACGTTGTCTCTCAGGACCATACCTGTTAGATCGTTGCTTGATGCTGTCATGTTCTTGCTCCTATTTATATCTCTTCGGACTTCTCTATAATGTTTGATAAAACAAAGAACCAACATGCCAAAAAGAATAGTTTCATAGACGATGAGCGCAATGGGTGCAGTTACATTGCACCATACTTGAAATTGAGAAACGTGAAATGAGCATATATAACCTTCTTCCGACGTTTGGATTACTGTTGTGTCCGTACATAAGGTTGGGTCAATTAGGGCAGTGTTTAATTTGGGGCTTACCTTGCGGATTTATAGGAAGAATGGACATGTATGAAAGAGATATGTTTGCGACGTGCGCTACACAGAATAAAATACCGAGGCGGATCAACATGCACCTTGACCTTCCATAGAGAGCGTATATTCGCATTCCCATCATTGCTAATGGAAATAGGTTATAAATATTCCCGTTCCCGTGCTCATACGTACCACTCATAACGATGTATATGATTGGAAGTACAACCAGTTGACATGTCAAGACTGTTGCTAAACCTTGGGGAACTTCAGCACAAACATCGCATTGTCGGAGGATGAGGTCATACATCTGGAAGGGTTTAGATGAGTGGAGAAACGGGTGTCATTTCCACGAGTAGAACTCACGCCTGCATAGGACGAGAAGTAATATAACCACTACTCCGTCATATGTGTAACTTAGGTAATGCCTCAATGACTCACTGTGATTGACTCGGTCTTCACGGGCAGCGCTAATATGTGTAGTAAATATCACTCAAAGAAGAGATATGCACAAGCTTACATGACCTGATATTGAGAGCAAAAGCGACCAAGATACTTGAGTCCATGTTGTAGACCGGATATACTACTCACATGTTATAATACAACCCCCCGAATCGTAGCTTTTCATGGTCAAAATCGTCAACAAGTATCAGATGGAGACAACGCACAATTCCGTACGATATTTTGACGACTTTCAGGCCTTTCTTGTCCTGAGCAGGTAAGATTAACAGTGACATCCCACTTAATCTAGGCATCGCCATGGAACTCACCCAGACAAGTCTTTTCTACAAAGATCCAAATTGTTTGTAAATCGTGTATAGACCTTTCAGAGCGTTACAGACCTCACGGTTTATGTCAAGGGCTAGTTCAGTGATAACATATATTAGTCTGTACGGACAGCTCTTCTGATTAGACGGAGGTTACGTACCCCACAAATACAGATTTAAAACTGTCATCGCCACTGGTAATACATGTAGTTGCTTGAGTACGATAATTGCGTCCACAGCATAAAGTGTGGCTCACCAGCAGTATAATTCTTCGCCTGGACGTAGAAGAGTACACTGATAGGCTCATTAGAAGAAGATATTACCAGAAGTGGAATTAGGAAAGATGACGGGCTCGGGAAAGCCACTGTTGAGACCTATATATTCTGACTTAAGTGGCCTGCTCCTGAAAGTGGCTACTATTCCTGGTATATACATAGCATCGGTGTTATCAACAATGCGAGTATAGCTCTTGTTCTACGATCATCAGATGCATTGTTAAGGTACGATAACCTATAACTTGTTAAACAAATCTAGGTCAGGTACATCGACGGTGCTAGCAAAGAGTTCTGACGAAGGCGGGTATTACCTATGACTTAACAATGTATAACATTTATCCGGGCCCCTCATAGACTTGGACAAACCCCAGCCCTGCTTACACTAGAAATTATGAAAGACAATAGATCGACTTTGGATTCACTGATGGTATAAGCTAAAAACCTGAGTCCCCACAACCACTATATGTCGGACTTTTCTAAAAGGGGATTTTAATGCTTCCTCAGAGCCCACCATTTCGACGCGTTGGAATGCCATAGAAATGCCGTAATATTGTAACCAAGCCAAAATAACCGAATTTAACGGCAAATTGTTACCGCACAAGTCTGTAAGAATTCCCCGGGCATCAATTTAAAACCCAATGTAACGCCATTTTATTGCCGTTGACAACGTGTTATAATGAAAACCCAATTATGGCGCGCTGTAATGGTGGTCTCGGGTATCAAAATGTGCTAGAATTAAAAAAAATTGCCCCTGAGATTCTTCCGACATAACCAAATAAAATGCGTAAGATGCACGTACTTTGTGAAAATCCCAGCAATGTACGTCCACGTCAACGCCCACCACTGGCTCAGGCCATCATGTATCATGTTATATATAGGTTTGATTCCCAGGTATGTGATGGATCAAAATCTGCGATAATCGGGAAACTGGGCTGAAGAGAAGACATGGTAAAGCATTCATTACTAGGCACAATCTGATCACAGAGTCCATCGATGAAAGTACACGCAGCGCTGCTGTTTGCATGGCATCATTTTTGTTCCTGGTTCTTTGAAAGTATAGACGCTGTGTTCGACTGTGCATGTTCCTGGATTCGAATTCTGGATCCGAAGGATACGGGCATTGAGCGTCAAAAACTCCCTAGTTCCCGGCTTGCACGGGGACAGGCTCGGCTTTTAATGTGTTTACATGTCTCTTTGCCGTCAAAATACAAATCGAGGCAAAGTCCTACTCGATCGGAAACAGGGTGGATCGGTGAAGATGTGGCAAGGGCTCCTACTTTACACGCGTTGAGTAGAAGGCTACTGAGAATGAGGTGGTGACACGGTGGCCCAAGTCCATATTTTCCCGAGGTCGTGAGTAACCAATGAGCACACATGTGCTGAATTTTGCAGCTATCGCCCAGTTAGATCAACTCGTTCTTGATGCATAGGGACCATGTTCGATGGTACAAGTGACGGCCGCCTTTCAAGGGGGAGTATTAGTGTTCAGAGGGTTGATCTAGAACACGGCCGCGCAGATCAAGCTCTCTTGACTTGCAGTAATAGATTAAGCTGAATATTCTCACAGACTTTAGGCGGGCGTCAGAGCGGGGAGGATGTTCACCACAGCCATGGAACAATGCCAAACTAAAGCTCAACGAAATAAGTAACGCGTACTTGACCTATCGTACCGCCAATCATTGCTGTCGTATAGGTAGCTGTCGTATAGCTATAATACCATTGTATCTTTTGTCTCCCTAGAAGGAGAGTAAATCCTATGAAGACAGTCAACCACGTCTTCAGCACTTCAGCCCCTGCACACACCTATGCGCTGGTCCCAATTTGGTTCCGATCTTCACGTATCACCTGAGAAATATTAGATATCCTCTCCGGGTGGCTGTCCTATATACGAGAAGTAGCTGGATGTATCTTTCAAGCTTAATCCTCTGACCTTAGGTTTTGTGTTCGCACGATATACGAGTCCCGCTGATCGTTCAGCGCCCTTCATGATGTTCAAAGCGTGTATACCCCTGAGCCAAATAAGCCGAATTGTCACCTTGGCTCGGTTGAGATTGACGCGTAACCTTCGATGTTTTGGACCTACGGCTTAGGGTTGACGACGTTTCACCCACGAGGAACTAGTGGGGGAAAACTTTTCCTTGGAAATGTCAATCGTTGCGGTTGCGCTCCGGCGTGTAAAAAGGAATAGTAATTGTCCATCCCGTAAACACGCCACTTAGCGGGGCACAACTGACTTGGTCTGGATATTGGTTAGGTTGTATGAACACCGAGTCCTTTGTGGCGAGAGGATAAGCGAACGTTACTTTCGTGTGATAGGTGGCAAGACGGACGGAAGCAATGTGCAGCGGCGCGCTGAGCCGCGTAACACCCTCGACGCGTGTGGTCGTCTGCGCCGGCAAATTCCGACGCTCGCCAACCTCTTTCCATCCAGCCATGGCGGGCAAGTCCAAAGCACGGCAAGACTCTGTCTCCTCGCGTTGCTACTCCATTCGCTCATACTTTCTATCTTGCTCAATAGGACGATGATAGTACGCATGGTGTCGACCGCCCAGACCGGTTTCTTCTATACTACCACCCGTCTCCGTCAGGGCCCGCGACTCTCCGCCGTGAAGTATGACCCTCAGGGTGCGCATTCATGCTTTAGCTCCACAGTAGAATCTAACAGGACTTTGTTTAGTCGGACAGCGCGTTTTGTTCAAGGAGAGCGGGAAAAAGTCTAAAAAGAGCTGAGGATGGATAGGGACACCGGACCGAGGTGAGTACCATGTCTTCGTCGCTTCAAGATTTCCAGCTTTGACCACCCTTTCCACTAGCTGCCATACACTTATTACACTTCTTTACATCGCTACAAACCTGCTACAATACAACCCGCTAGTCCTTACCAAATCTACCTTCAGTGCTATTGCCAACTTCACCACTTCTCATCGCACGGCTAACCACTCTGACAGTCTACATGCTTCTTTCAAGTAAACTCATACCAACACCAGTTCGTTTTCTCACAGCATCCCCTTCCTCAGCCGTCCTTCTGGTGTCCTTCATCGCCGAAAGTGTTATAAAGTTCTCCCAGGGCCACCTCCGTGTTGGACGCTCCCTGCCTGCAAACTTCAAGTCGGCTAAAAGATCGTGTGGTAGGGCTCTGAACGCGTCTTTAGTGTGGCTCGCTCGGAAAAGCCGTTTCATCAAGAGCCCCTATCAACAGGTCATCTGTAGTGGATGTGAACAGAAGCGACGTGCAGATATGCGGTCCAGCGGGCTGGGCCCAGAGTACGCTACTGCGGCTCTTCGTAGATTCTCCACTCCGCGCGGCGCGCAGTGATTCTGTTCTAAGAGGTCATCTCATCATCGAAAACCCTCTACTCTGTCCGTAGGGCCCGGACCGTACGAAGGCTTGACCGGCGCGCGTGCGCGTGGTGGCGGGGTACATGCTCAAGCGCTCAGTGATGGTCGTCTTTGCGCCCCGTTATCATCGCTGGTCTGACGGTACAGTCCACTGCATTGACGCATCTGATCGCATATCTTACGTGTCCTCAGCTACGCAATTACGCCACCAAGTGTAACTGTGAGTATCGCTGTACAAGCTGTCCTCGCGATCCTCGCGGATCCCTTTCGAGTGTATCAGCGGATCTCCCAAAGAACTTCGAAGAGTTTTGCGGGGCTGGTACCTTCCGGTCAACATGGTCCTGTTGCGTTATCTCGGGGAACAGTGTCGCGTTCCAAAATAGCAAAAAGATGTAGTGGACGTTTGATCGTTCACGCCTTGAGGCCTTTCAGGGGTAGGTTATTTGCCTTGATGGTGAATAGCACAGTTTCCCGATTATCCGGGCGCTGCTTAGAGTACAGATGTGTTCGCGCTCGATCTTGGACGGCTGTGTGGGTATTTTCACATTTCCGAGGAAAGGACGAATGTTGTCTCGACAAGGTGCATTGAATGCTGAAGATTCACCCCGTCAGTGGCAACTATTTCCTGGCGCTTATTTGGTTCACAGGTTTCGCACCCAGGAGTGTTCCTGAGGACATACGCCAGCCCTTTGCTCACTTGGTATGAACTTAGAGTGGCACTAAGCTACTTTATCTCACAGATATACACGCGCCGGGTACATTGGCGTCGGATAATACTGTATGAAGCGACAGAACTTCTAGCCGTTCTAGCAGGACATTAGTACGCGGACACTGAACGACATACAATGAGTGTGCAAGAGACGAACGAACGACGGTAGCGAAAGGGAAGTAAAGGTTAGATCATCCGATGACTGTAATAAAACAGACCGGCTTGCATCCAAAGGGGTCGGAGCAATTGCGGATACCTGATGACCGCGGCAAAGTGTCAGGGAACGTGCTGGAACGTGGAGTGAACGACGGTTGATGACAGCGGACCATGCATGCACTGAACGTTGAACACGAATTAACGCACCTTCGGTACGCGACAGATTTCAGATCTTAGACATAAGGATATTCAGAGCCCAGGTAAATATCAGAGTAAAAAAATATGATATAGATGATGTACACGGATATGATGTCACGGTGATTATGGTATGATAAGATACGATATGATCCTGAGCTCAGAGTAGCCCTCCACTACAACCTGGTTACCTGACGGGGTGGTCAGTTGATCCTTTCTGCATGCACTCCGATAGTTAGTCCGATACTCACGGGGACTGATCCATTGATGGACTGTCAACCCGACTCCGGTATTTTCGAACATGATGCAACATCCCACATTGGGCCTTCCATCGTTATCGAGCTGAGAGTCTCGGTCACTCAGGAAAACGTAATACGGCGGCCTGTTCCTGACTGTTTTCTCCTGTTATACATGACAAATTTACTGTCAGTATAGACAAATCGTGATCCAAGATGGTCAAGCCCGACTACGTATAAAACCTCGACTCGACGGTGGCTCATATGATAGCTCAGATCCCACTCCTCCTACACAACCCCAGCTTTATAGCTTGCCTTTCATTCACCCTCAACAATATGTCCGGAAACATCGACGTTGACACGCTCCTCTCGCTTATCTCCTCTTCAGCGACGGCCGCCGTCTCTGAGTGGCAAAAGACTGGGGAGGATATCCCTTCGCTCTCGTCGCCTGTCCTGCACCCAGTCGACAGCACGACGGATGTCATTGCGCTCAAGAAGGCACTGCGTGTCCTTGAGGGTGCGTGCGAGCATCTCACCTTGATGCTCAGTCCTGTGGGCCAGACCGTCTACCAAGTACGTTATACATCTTTCTGCACTTTCTTCGTCACCAAGCTGAACTCGCACACAGAGAGCGTACAACCATCTCGATTCTCAAATGCTCCGTGTTGCCCTGGAGCGCAAGGTACCCGATATCCTCGCCAAACACCCGGAAGGCCTGCACCTGAAGGAGCTGGCCAGGATGATTAACGTGCCTGAAGCGAAGCTCGGACAAATTATGCGTGCCAATGCTACGCGACACGTTTTCATCGAAGGTTAGTACTTCTGCCACCTCTCCAAGGCTGCAAGAGCACTGACTTCGATAATGCAACAGTTGATACTGACGTCTTCGCCAACAACCGCCTCTCCAACTCGTTACGTTCCGAGCTACCATACGGCTGGAGCGCGCTCGCGAGCCGGGGTCTCACCGAAGTGTACCGCACTGGTGCAGTGTTCTCCGAGTATCTGGACGATCCTACGTGCGGCCCCTCGTATGAGGCAAGCCAAAGTGCGTTCATGTACTACGCGCGCGAGCAGGAGGGCTTCGAGGGAAAGTCGATATTCGAGTGGCTTGAGGCAAACGTAGGTTGTCGGTCAAACCTCCGTCCAACCAGCAGCTAACAATTACATCACATGCAGCCAGAGCGAAGGACGAACTTTGCGTTCGCCATGACGGGTTTACAGTGGGGCTTGGGCGGACTCGCTACTCTACACGGTTAGTCACAAGACGTCCGAGTTATTATGTCAAGTGCTAACATGAAGCACGAACAGCTTTCCCTTGGCAGGACTATACCTCCATCTGCGACATCGGCGCTGGCGTCGGCTCGTTCTCGATGCAGCTTGCGCGGAAATTCCCAAACCTTACGGTTACGCTGCAGGACCGTGAGGAGGTTGTCAATCACACGATTGACGTGAGCGATTCTACTTTCTCTTAGGTTTTACAGTTTGGCTCACTGGCATCTTTTTAACCTTCAAGCATTGGGCCAAGGAGTACCCGGAGGTCATCGCCAACAAGCGCGCTAACTTTGTTCCAATCGACTTCTTCAACGGTTCCCCGGTTGAGGGCTGCGAGCTGTACTTCGTACGTCCTCACCACCGCATGGTATCACATACCATGTCAAGACTAACGATGCGCGACATGTATAGCTTCGCTTCATCATCCACGACTGGCCCGATGCCGATGCCCTCACCATCTTCAAGAACGTCCGCAAGTCCATGAGCCCCACCAGTCGCCTTCTCATCCGTGCGTACATCATCTTTGCCTAACCACCCAATATTACAGCTGAGCTAATATGACGAGTAACACAGAGGATTACGTCTTGCAGCACGTCGATCGCAAATCCGGCCTCGCCGAGTCCCTCGCACACGGCATCGAGTCCGCACCTGCGCCGCTGCTGCCCAACTTTGGCGCGGGCCGCGCGAGGGCGCACTACATGGACGTCAACATGCAGCTCCAGTTCAATGCCAAGGAGCGCTCGCTTGGCGAGTTCCTGTCTCTGGCGTACGTCCACCTATGGTCTTAACTTTGTGACTGAAATCTAACGTTCGCTGCGACAGGACTGACGCAGGTTTCAAATTCGAGAAGTACTGGGATCTCGCTGAGATGGCTTTGGTAGAGTTTGTCCCTGTATAAGGGTAGCCTTCTTCCTTCACGTCTACCGCGGTACTGTTGTATTTTTTTCTGGGATGGAGATATAGATATTCTCGTTCCGAGGGCTGGTACCACTCGGGCTCGCCCAATTTCATTAGAGTCATCGATAGTCATTTAGCACCTGTACAGACACATGCAACCCTTTCATGATACAATTACAGCTACACGGAATACAAGATATCTTCCAATGGTAAAGCCCCTCGGCCCTCGCTAAGTCAAAGCTAGCGATAGGTAGACACATAGTCTCAACCTCACTTCTTCTCCTTCGCAACGCCTGCCCAGTAGCTCCCGTTTGGGAACTCGTACTCCGCAATACTCTGCTTGTGCATTTCGATGCTGTCAAGTTCTGGTTAGCCACGCCCTTTTAGACACGCGATGCGGGGGACCCACCTGTATCCCTCGGCAGGGTTGACCGGAATACTGTAGCGCCCGCGGGAGTTCATCGTGCACGGATAGACGAAGTGTTCGTGGAGGTGCGTCGCGAACTCGAGCACGTTGCGCTCCATGGTGCCCGAGATGCAAATGTAGTCGATCAAGCTATGTAGCACGAGGACATAGGTGAACAAAAGCAAGGCCTGGCGAAAGAATGAACAACGTACCTAAGGTGGATGACGTATTCGCATAGGCCAACGCCACCAGCATGGGGGCACACTGGGATGCCAAACCTATGGTTTTTGCTTAGATGAAGCAAACGAAACACCCAGAAACCACCCACTTGGCAGCCATAAGCAGCACACTCAACACCTCGCTCACCCCCGCAAGCCGACACGCATCGATCTGGCACACATCAATCGCCTCCGCTTGCAACAGCTGCTTAAACACCATCCGATTATGCGCATGCTCGCCCGTCGCGACCCCGATCCCATGCGGCCTCAGCGCCTTACGAATAGCCGCATGCCCGAGAATATCATCGGGCGCGGTCGGCTCCTCGATGAACCACGGCTTGATCGGCGCGAGCTCCTTCATCCACTCGATCGCCTGCGGCACGTCCCACACCTGGTTCGCGTCGACCATGAGCACCGCCCCCGTCGGCCCGGCGTTCTTCCCGCGCAGGCTCGGGTCTGTCTCGGGGTTGCGGTCCTTGAGGTGCGGCGGGAGATTCGCGGGGTCATCGATGATGGACCGGATGAGCAGACCGCGCCGGAGATCCATGGCGCGGTCAGCGCCGACTTTCATTTTGAAGTGTGTGAAGCCGTTGCCGACGGCTTCTTTGGTGAGGCGGGCAACTTTGTCGTCGGGGTAGGCTGAGGTGTGGAGTACATCAGTGCGATGCTCACTTGTACACAAAGGAGGAGAGATTCACCTAGCCAGCCGGCGGAAGTGATGTAGGCGGGGTATCTATCAAGCAGCATACCCTAGGTCAGGCCTTGAGGTAGCTTAATATCTAGTATATCCACGTACCCGAGTTCCCGTACGTTCGCCTCCCGCTCCTTCTTACCCGCCTCCTTTTCCTTGAGCATCGCGAGCGCCTGCTCGGGCGTGAGCACGTCGGTAATGTACCTGAAAGCCGTTGCAGACACAAGCTCCTCCTGTTTGGGTTTGCACATCGCTCAGACGACGCAAACTTCGAGTGATGACGATGAAGACAAACGGGTGACATGTCCACCACAAGCTTCCACACTGGCTTCCCTCTAGCACGCGCGAACATGTCCCACAGCGCATTGTTCACGGCACCCGCTGCGATATGGATGACACCCTTCTCGGGACCAATCCTACGCAGGATTGCCCATCAGCATCGAACAAGCCCGCCAACGTAAGATAAGCTCACTCACCAGCGCAGCTGTGGATCCGCACACATGTAGTCCCACGCCTTGCCCATGTTCGCGAAAAACTCTTCAGGGTCCTTGTTGAGCAGTCTTGTGGACAGCTCTTCGATTGCACGACACACCTATGCGGTTTTAGCATAAGGAGAAGGTCGCAGGAGAAGGAGGCATACAATGTCATTTCCACGTCCGATAGTGAATGTCATGCCATGGCCGACCTGTCCATCATCGGTGTAGATGGAAACATAAGCAGACGAGTAGTCGCAGTCTGTGTTCCTGTGATGATAGAAACAGAGATATGGTCAGAATGCTGCCGTCCGTGACACGCAAGAGGAAGACAAGGGCGCAAAGATGTGCGTAAGACAGGGGCTAATACATTGGAGGCTTACATCGCGTCTGTGCCATCTCCAGTAAGCGAAGTGGGGAAACGGAGGTCTTTCGCGTTAAATCAGCATGCATTTGTGGCAGTATCGGTGTGAATATAAGGGGAGAATGGATCGCAGGTTGAAGGGAGGATAATGATATGTAACGGGAGCTTATATGCGTACCATGTGTCTCATAACGAACGATCTTGCCGGGCATCGTGCAACTCAAGTTGAAACACCAGTGAAATGAGTCTGCGCCTATCAGTGAGGGAGATGAAGGGGCACTGAGAATGCAAGCGCCGGGCAGCGGAGAGGTCGACTGGTTTGGAACGGAGGGTCAGATGCTTCAGGAAGAGAACCATGACGATGGGGTCCCGTGTTCACCAGCGTCGGTCTTTTTAGCCGTTCACATTCTGTGGCGAGGGTTTTCTTTTGCTCGAGCTTGTGTAGTTAGCAACAGCATTCATACACTGGACGAAAGTGAATGGGGACGATGGTCTGCTATGGACATTTCCGCGCAGGACAACTCGACGGGATTGGAAAACCTTGGAGACTGAAGTGACGGCCGGAGAATGCCGACGGAATGTCGCGAATTTGTACACTACACAGCCACGAAATGCTCCTGTCAACTTGCTACAGCGTCAAGACAATGACATATCCAACGCATGTCAGCGGGCTCCATCGGGCCTCCGACTTCAACCCAACTTTCACACCAGAAGAGACCGGATGTCGTTCGGGTCGATGAGCTACGTTGCCGGTCGACCACGCAAGCTGACAGCCGCCATCAGTCTCCAAACTCCTCCCGCCGCTCCAACGCGCAAGCTGACGGCAGACACCAATACGACCTTGAACAACTCTACTTGTCTACCATGTGTACCTGATATCAGTCTGACGCTGCGCCCGTGTTTTTGGTGGGGTATATAACCAAAGGCACCCGACGCCAGAGCATACGCATCTGATTCCCAACTCACATTCCTACCTCACTACCATGCCTCTGTTCGGACAAGCCCCCAAACCCGAGTCGCGCCTCGGCCGGTATCGCGCACTGGCGCCGACGTGCGGCTTACATGTCTCTCCGCTCGCGCTCGGCGCGATGAGCATCGGTGATCAATGGGCAAACGAGGGCTTCGGGAGCATGAACAAGGAATCGAGCTTCAAGCTACTCGATGCCTTCTACGAGATGGGCGGGAACTTCATCGACACTGCGAACAACTACCAGAATGGAAGTTCGGAGGAGTTCATTGGCGAGTGGGCGGAGGCGAAAGGTATCAGAGATCAGCTGGTCATTGCTACCAAGGTGAGTACCTGGTTTGCGCATCCAATGTATCGTATCGCGCCATGGTACTGAACGGCGCATCCTATGGTAGTACACTACGAACTTTGTCGACGCGAACGACGCTATCAAGCAAAAGATCACGTACACAGGAAACAACGCCAAGTCGATGCACATCAGCGTCGAGGCCAGTCTCAAGAAACTCCGCACATCCTATATCGACATCTTGTACGTCCACTGGTGGGACTGGGACACCCCTGTCGAGGAGGTCATGAACGCGCTTCACACGCTTGTGCAGGCGCGCAAGGTGCTCTACCTGGTGAGCATCTTTCCCTTCCGTGATCCTGCTTCGAAGGGAGCTAAACCAAGGATGTATACAGGGTATCTCGGACACCCCAGCATGGATCGTCTCGCGCGCGAACATGTACGCCCGCATGACAGGCAAAACGCCCTTCGTGATCTACCAAGGCATGTGGAATGTCCTCGACCGCTCCTTCGAGCGCGACATCATCCCTATGGCACGTACCGAAGGTCAGCCTCTCCCCTTCCGCTCCCTGTCCCTTTTAACGCTCAAACCGAACTTTCATGGTAGGCATTGCCCTCGCCCCCTGGGGCGTCCTGTGCCAGGGCAAAATCCGCACCGATGCCGAAGAAGCCCAGCGCGCCAGCACAGGCGAGCACGGACGCACGGTGCACGGGCCCAACTGGCAGCGCAACGAGACCGAGCGCGCTATGAGCAAGGCGCTCGAGCGCATCGCGGGCGAAGTCGGTGCACAGCACATCACGAGCATCGCCATCGCGTACGTGATGGCCAAGACGCCCTACGTGTTCCCCTTGATCGGAGGGCGCAAGGTCGAGCAGCTCCAGGCGAACGTGGAGGCGCTGAGCGTGCGCCTGACGAAGGAGCACATCAAGGAGATCGAGGGCGTTGCACCGTTCAGCCTTGGGTTCCCGCACAACGTGGTGGTGAGTGGGCTGAGTCGATAGTGACGATCTTGGAGGGTGCTGATGTGTTGAATTGCAGGGTAATGGGACCGAAACTTCCTTTGGTATCATGAACGGGGGATGGGTAGACAAGCATCCCCATGCTCCAGCGCTCCAGCCAACCGCAGAGGATGCCAAGGCTATGGACCTAATGGGCATCCTCAACCGGTGAGCTTATTATGGCCAGTATCAAGCCGTGCGATAGTATATCATTTTCGCACTGCGGTTGGCCGTCTCTACCTTTAAGTTGTACATGTGCATCGCCAAAATGTAAGTTGATCTCGAGATTGTTCATTCAGTAGGAGTATGAGCATTCATCCTCTGAACGCCTGTTCTACGACCTCTGTCCAGAAGAGGACAACACCGCTGGGAAACACGAGATGATGCATCATCCTCACTCCGCATAAGCAAGGTGCTTCCCTTCGGCGTCTCGCCGTCCTTACACCAAAGATAGTGCACTACCATCAAGCGATCGGTCTACCCCAAGGTCGAGAACGCTGCACTGCAGGTACTCAAAGGGGTTTGGTGAAGGCAGACGAGCAGCGTATCAGAATATCGCCTTTGCGATCCTCCGCGTCCCCATGATTGCAGTCCTACAGGCCGGATAGCTGGTAGTGAATGTTAGAGGAATGAATGACGAAGAACCATTCTTGGGTACTCTGAGTGCATGACTGCTTTACAGTGACGGTGTAGTCAGGGATATGGTGCGATGCGATCCTGGTTTCTTGCTTTGTTGTTGGTAAGCCATGCAATGCATTCTGTCGCATCACCTCTAATCTATGTTGCTTGGTTTCCGGGGTGCTGATACTGCTTAAGGCACAGGAGAATGTACATGTGTCGAAAATAGGTTTGCAATCAGGAATAGACTGAGGCCTAGTGGCCAATCCGTTGCTTCTACCGATCATAAAATGATGTTTATTTCAAAGATGAAAGCCAGCATGGGAGTCCGCGTTCAAAGATGGGAACCTACACATGAAACTTGAAATTTCAAACAACCAGATGGCCTCGCAGAGAACTACCACACCGACTTCGCACCATCGTCTGCTTTTGACGTCACTTCTTCGAAGCACTTAGGTGAAAATCGTTGACTATTTTCAACCTATGTAAGGGTTGTACGTGCATGGATTACTTTGCAGGAGATTACTATTATCAAAGACCGCAGGTGTAGCTCGATTTTATGCATGTTAATGACCCCGAACCACTGATAAATCACTGTCTAGACCACCGGAGCATATTGACTGAGACGGAATGTATGTTATCATTCGGGTGGTAGGTTTGATGTTCATAACGGTCATGATGTTTCCATAAGATCTCCGCGTTGTCGTAGTGCAATACCCCTTCTAATACATCATGAATGTTGTAACCCCATCCAATAGGATGAGAGCCATGTAGTTCTGTATCGGGCCTTCTCTCGATGGAGCCATCGTCCGGTACCACCTAATTCCTATAAAGGTCCACCGGGTGGTCTCCTAAAAGTACGACTCGGAGTCGACACCTCTCTTCGCTACATTTGCAAGATTTCACCATGTACACTCCAACATTATCTCAAGTACTTATATACAGTCACACAACGAGTTTTGTAGATGGTAAGAAACTCCGTGAGGGTACCATCACATTGTGTTAAGACCCATGATCCTTCGTTCCAGCGGCAGTCGCATTCTTGAACATTTATACATGGTGTAAGTTACTATCGTTCAAAAACGTTGCAAAAGCTGATGTCAGGTCGCCACCCCAGTGCTTGACTTGGACAGAGAGGTAAGAAGCAGTCAGATAAAGTACGGGAATTAGCTCACAACTTTCTCGAGGTGGACTTTGTCTGGGTATGCAGCGCCAGAGACGCACCTGTCCGCCTCATCCCAACCTCACATATCTCAATAGAGAAGGAAGAATGCCAAGCTCTCAAACCTATCTTATGCTATCGTATGTCCAAGCCACTTGCATATATTCACACTTAGTAATGAGGACATCATACAGATGCGATACGGGGGATTGTTCAACAGTCTGTGCGTCGCGCAATTAACAGGATGAGGCCTGCTTCATGAATTCACTAAATTTTCAATAATTATAATGTATCAACAGCACCTGTAAGCGGGTCAACAATGCGCGTTCCATGTACAGGCTAATGATCGAGTAACTCTATAGATATTCCTGTGGTATCTGAATCTCTCCAAGTAAGACATCTTTTGGACATCCTAGTGAATACCTCGATAAACCTTCATATTTCCATGCCAGTCGTAAGCCAGTGAAACATGACACTCCATACTACGCTTGATATTATTTTGCTAGATGTGAGGTTTAAATTAACGTAACATCACTTGACTAATGTTTCTCAAGGCACTGCAAGGATGATAATCGCCGATTTGGTGGTATTTATTGCTATATTCTTCTCCCTGAACGGTACGTACTAGCTCTAGTTATGAATTATGCTATGGACCGCTGATAGCTCCATCCATTAGCTATGATGGGATTGCGCATCTATGCCCTTTACGGGGGCTCTAAGCAAGTGCTGGTGTTTCTGTGTATTTGCTTTACAGCAGCACAGATAGTAAACATAGTCCTGACATACATGACCGTGTTCCCACTGGACATGCTAGGTGAGCCTGGAATATGTGAAGGTATGGGCTATGCATCTGATTAGTCTATATGGCCTAAAGTCCAGAATATTCCCGGACAAGGAACTTCATGCGGATATCGTCTGTCAGAGCAACAGGCTTGGTACCAAACTTCCGCAGACATTGCTCTTGTCGCTTACGAATTTGTGCTATTTGTCATGTCACTCATTTGTTTTGTCAAGCACTACAAAGAGCAACGTCAAACCATCACCGCAACAATGAGCACGTTGATGGGTTTGGTCATCAAAGACAATATTTTCTACTTCTTCGTGTAAGCCAGTCGTGTTTTCATCATGATAGAGCATTGAAAAGATTAACTGTCTGCTGCAGAGCTTTCTTTGGTTTGACGCTTAATCTAGGGTCGAACGTTACTGCCATCATTGATCCATACGTGAGTGTCAGTGATTTCTGTGAAGTTTCATTTGTTACAAGGCATTCTCATCATAGGGCGCCTTCAATTTTAATATTGGGTTTAACGCAATCGTATCAAACTTTTGGCTCAATTTCCAATTGAATATGCTGGGTCCTCTCATGATGCTGAGCATCAGAGAGTACAACGCAAAGCTGCGCAAGGAGGCATCCTCCAACCGCTTACCTGCTGAGACCCTGGAGTTTGCCGCTGCTACCCGGCAATCCGAACGTAGCGAAGCTTGAAAGGGAAAAAAAATAAACACGTTTATTACTGAAGATATGCCTTGGTGAAGTCGATGATGTACTAGTATATATATGCACGTCAAAATAGAAAATCGTACACGGAACGAGAGCTGTCAACGGCGGCAAAGGGCGCCTCAGAATAATTGCTTACAACCTCTGAAGCCAGTACCGGTGCTGCCATTTTTGACTATTAAACCGGCGTCCATAGGGGGCGGAACTCGCTTCTGCAGTCAAGACCAAAGCTACTTCTCTGGAAAATCGTGTTTGGGTCTTGTATTCCTTGTCACTATCCCATGTGATTGCGGATTACTTATGGATAAGTCTTAGCTTCATTCCTACATAAAATGGGCCTTCGTGTAATGCGTTGGGCGGTGATCTCGCTTACACTTTGGTTGGAATGGACTAGGCTGATCAGCTATCATGCTTCAATCTTCTGGCTGGCGGCGAAATGTTGGAAGACATGGATTTTGAAGGGAACGCGAAGGCCTCTTTGCACATGCTAAGTGCACTCCCCTCGCCGCTAAAACGAGATGTTAGTCGTACTTAATATGCTAGTATTCCTTCAAATCGCTGTCTGCTGTTAAAGTCCTCTTTAGCTCTCCAACCGCTCATCATTGATTTCATATCATAACGACGTTACTACTTGGGAGGCAGCTGTACATGGACCGGAGTTAATGACGTCGTGCGGAGGAATTGCACCGCTCGCGAAAGGTATCTGCAGGGCTCGTGTCTCCATGTTGGACGGATAGCTTGTGTTGTGTCCCGTCCCAGTGACATCCACGGCAACGATTATACCCTCTGCCCCTCCAACTACGAATGCGTTGTCTGTACCATTGGGAAGCGTCACAAGTGCAACACCTGACAAGAACACGACCAATCTAGTCGACGTTCAAGGTCAGATCATCAGGGTATGAGAAACGAATCAGTAAGCAAAGAACTTACTGAGGATAAGGCGCGTTATGGATCCCGCCTTCAAATCTCGGCGGAACGACAGTGTAAGTCGCGTTCGCCAGATTGTTGATGTTCAAGGTGGAAGCACCAGCCGTTCCGGCGCCAGCCGAAGTCGTGAATGGGTCCGACAAGCGCCAACACTCCAGCGCCGAGCTTCCATTCTGGGTGACAATAGCGGTCATCTCCAAGAAGGTGCTGTTCGCGGCGTAAACGGCCGGTTCAAGTTCCAAAGCGAGCGCAGAGGCTGCGCCAGCGATGCAGAACGCAAAGCCAGAGAAGCGCATCCTGGTGGGTTGGTGATGGGGTGGTGAAAGGAAGAGGCGACGCCGGAGTGCCGCCCGCTTCACTGTATGCAGTAAAGGCGAGCACTTTAATTACGGATTGAATTGGAGTTGACAGGGCACCCTGGTGACCATATGATCATAACACTGTCTTTCTCCCACGCCTCCGGGAGTTACCGATGCATATCCCGTGGTTGTAAGATAACCCTTTTCTTTGCAACGGCCGTTTTGGTCTTCTCGCTCCGTCACTCCCTCTCGGAGAAGGTGGTACCGCGTAGCACGACTCCCTCCCTTCGCTTGCTCTCGTTTATATATGTTTTCCATCAACCCATGAGGGGCGCAACAGCAACCACCGTCTTCTAGAAGACCTTGTTACCAAACCGGATGCATCAGATGTTCCATAGCATCATTCCTCCGCCGCTATCGGATTCTCCCAATGAAGCTTTTCCATCGCTCAGCTTCATATAGAACGAAGGGCTACAAAGAAGGTACTGTTATCCCCCGCCAGAAGAGACAGCCAAATTTCCGTAAGTCCTGGAATATTTTCCTCGCTGGCCCGTCCTGTAAAATAAGGTTTGAAGCATCCCCAAGACCCAAACTAATACTGAAAAAATCTACGAAGCGCCAAAGTGGACGGATTCCCTACTATACGAACATCAGTGGATTTTAGAACCAAGGACCGGCCACCGTCAGACTGTACAGTCTGCGTGGGAGCCGATATCGGTGATAAGCCCATATTAGGCAGGGTATTGGCTGTAGCCGAGCCATAAAAGGAAAATCATGGTGTTATTGCCGAGCCGGATTCGCCGATACGGCGGCTATAAGATTATAGTGAGCCTCGAGAGGACACTCTGTCATCGGTCCAAAATATTGAGAGTTTGTGCCTTCTGGTTGCGCCCAGTTTTGTTTCAGTGGGGGCGGAAGGTGTTAGCTCAATATATGATTACTCTTTTGCTCACAACCTGAGGTTATTTCACAGCTGGTTACTGACCCGAGCTCAAATTTTTTTCAAAAGAGCCCATTTTCTGTCTTTTGAGCCATGTTACTTCATTTCTAGACATGCCCTTGCCAATCCAACGCAGGATGATATGGAATGGCATAGGATCATAATTATCATGAATTTAGTTTGAGAGTTTTGCGGGAGAAACGGCCACAAAAGACAGTTGTACATCCTGGCGGTGGTGTACATTCTCACGGGGGATGACAGTAGGCCCGCACGCAGCGCATTGCTGCGAACAGCCAATCATCCACGCATCCACACGAATCCATTGACAAGATCGTCTTGGAGTCGTGAGCTGTGGTCTGCCAAGACAAGTCAGCACCAGGCCTCGAGGTACAAGGTTTGATTATTGAACTGGATTTGACGCTGTTTGTATAACTTAGCTGAAAACCTAATATTGGCGCAGGGTAATTATAACAAGTGCCTTTCATAGGTTACTCGGACCTTCGTTTAGGCTTTGGGTGCCTCCTCCTGGTGTTCGGCTGTGTAGTGATTCGCCCTGATGTTGATACATCATCGACGCTTGCGCAGTTTCATGCCACAAAAGCCTTGCGATTTCGCCTCCAACGCCTCTCTGTCCTCCAGCCATGCTCTCAGGTCTTGTTCAACTTAAAAGTAAGCAAAATCATCAGGTTTTTCGCACTTTCCGGACTGACATCGACTTATCTACAGTAACGTCGGGCATCTGCTCTGCGTTCGCAATTGTCATAACATGCATCCGTCTGTACATGCGCAGAGACAGGTTCTGGTGGGATGATGCATGCGCCTTTCTCTCCATGATTTTCCTTTTTGTCCAAATCGTCTCCGTCTTCATGCACGTGCCTAATCCACGTACGTCATGACTTAAAGCTCTCACTTTTCCAGCTAATAATCCGAGATATGCAGGCGTCCTCTCACATATGGACAACATCGCTGCGTACTACTTGATGGCTGCTACTTTTTACGCTATTATTTGGTAAGATCTGCTTTCGCCTTACTGTGGAATTTCATCTAAGTTCTGGTCATGGCATATCAGGACAGCGCGGCTAGCTATCTTGTACTCTGTCATCCGAATAGACCCAGACCCGAGGACAAGACGAGTAAGTTCCTTGACCGTTGTAGCATTTTCACGCCACTGATGCCTCGCAGATCCTCCATCGCATCGCGATCATTTTTATTGTCATCCTCCTTATTATGATTGCACAGGTACTCTGGGTAAGCACCTCCGAGCGATCGCCGTTTGCTACGTTTTAAGTCCCAATACCAGGTATGCGAACCAATGCACGACTGGAAAAATGCAGCGTCGCCTCAGTGCCCTCTCAACAAGCAAGTCGCTATTTGCCAGCTCGTGAGTAAGTAACTTTCCATTGACGTCATCACGCGTTTACGTCCAATACACTAATTTTCGGGCTTTGCTATCAGCCGACATTCTGTCGGATGGTTTGCTCATCTACGCACCACTTCGACTTATTTGGGGGATGGACGCCATAGACGGCACGCGCAGGCGTCTAATGATCATTTTCTCCACATGTATTGTCACCACGTAAGCCTGTTTCTTATCCGAGCGCTCAAATCTGCACAGCATGACACCACCATGTCCCGCATCGTAGAATCGTGTCCCTCGTTCACGCCGCGTTCATCCTCACCGACGGAGGCATCAGAGTCGTCATCGCTGCTATCGTTGAGGTACACTTTCCGTCCTACCTCAATGTGTCTTTCGCCGACTATGCTGCCCCAGGACACCTTCTCCCTCATCGTCTGCAACATCCCCGTCGTTGTAACGGCCATCATGCGTAAATACGGCAAGAACGAAGAAGAAAGCGACCACGCGCGCCAGTCGACATTCCGGTTCCGCATTCCGACGCGCAAAACGTTCGCCACCACCCTCGGCACGAGCACGGCGAACTCGGATATGGCGACGGACCTCACGCCGTTCAATCTGCGTGACTTTAGGATGCACGCTACCGCCACTGTCACTAGGGACGTGACGCTCACGCAGATCGACCAGACGCGCACGTATGATGAAGACGATGGGGCTGTTGTGACTGTTGACCGAAAGGATGAACCTGAGTCGAAGGTTCACAAGCAACAGAGAAATGTTGTGTGGATTACGCAGGATAAGCTGCAGCGGCCTGAGTCTCGGGATGACGATGTTAAGTAGCATATGTGTTTGGTGGTGACGGATTGTACTTCGTACCAATATTACTTTGTACAATAACAGTGGCTCGCTTGTTTCAGCATTCAAAACGCGTATACACCCACCATAAATGACTGAAGAGCTGTTTCATGCTAATGCTGTTATATGTCACAGTGGGCGCTGATTGGGGCGTTAGTCCATCATTAATGAACAGTTACTAGCGTGAGCCACATTGATCTCATGTGATGAGCTGCGGCGCCTAAGCGCAGCGTATCGCCTTATGCATATTTCTCCCCATTTTCATCTTTGATGTGCTGAACGCTGATGGATGGCACGGTTATGCGCAACCTTCACCTTTCCTACATATATACTTTTGGGCTGGCAATCTAGCTGTTCCCAATAACCGCAAACCACACCTATTCATACTATAACCTTAGCAGTTTCTCCTGCCCCTCTGACATGGACGCCCAAACGATAATCAAAACTCTAGCATACCAACAAGCAAGCAATCACGCCAGAGGTGTGTTGACATTATTAATGAAGAAAAGTAGCGCGGTCAATGGACAATATAACGTCTTTCATTCACCCAACCCTTTAGTCGCATGTGCATGTTTAAGCGTCTACGCTTGTGGCGAGTTCGTTCACCCTCGAAAATGGGATGACTATGACTTACTTTTCTTATAACATGTAGTCATTGATTTTGATCGCGAAGTAAACAGAATTCGCGTGCAGCTACTGCCTTTGTCGCTGACGCCAAGTTTTCTTGTCCGCCGTTTTCTCCCTCTTTCAGATCGATCTAATTTGGGTATAAAAAAAGAATCGCTCTAGAGATACAGAGGTATTCACACGACCTGATTAGAGCTCAGGATCCTCCAACATCTCCCGGATCTCGTACACAATTGTAAGCACTTGTATGGCTCTGCAGTACTGATTGATCGTCTGACACCTTAGTTCAAATAAAGCTGAGATATGGTGGGCTTACTATCACAATGTGTGTTTATTACTCGACTTCAATCAATGCTCTATTAAATATCCATACTTTAATCTCCAGTTCAGGTAAGTATTCATGTCATTTGAACGGAAAGAGGGTCAATGATGAACATCGTCATATCAGGTCTAGCACTCATAGAACCCGTTTATATTAGTAGCAAAGTAAGCTATCGTGTGCGAGCTCAAAGTTTACTTTGCTGATATCGATTGAAACGCCGGTCCCCTAAGATGTAAGAAAAGTTGCCAGACTTTTTGAAGGTTAGTAGCTGACGTTGACACTAACACAGGTGTATGGATCTCGTACGTTTTGAAGCTGTGTTTCTCACATCAACTCAGGCACTCCTATTATAGTCGTACACGACTTTGTGATGATCCCAGCAGTTTACTTTGTTCTCAACGGTATGTATTCACAAGGTCATATACAGCTTCAAACTGATGCTTCTGACTCGCAAGCCATGATGGGCTTGCGGATGTATGCCCTTTATGGAAGAACTCAGGGAGTGCTAATTATTATTGGATCTTGCTTTATTGCGACACAAGGAACGGAATTTGTTCTCAAAATCAAGTCTATGGCCCCACTGCAAGTAGTATCAGGTGAATTTGGATAATTCTCGGTGTAACATATATAACTCATACGTCTGGATTTGTTTGCTTTCAAGGTTTGGGAATCTGTAACTACGTCTCTCAGTCCGGCATGATAGGCATTCTGTATCAAGAATGGTCTCAAATCATTCTTGCGGCCTATGAAACCGCGCTATTTACGATGTCAATGGTTCATTTATACAAAATGTTCAGAGAGAACACTCGATCCAGTGGGGCGACAAAACTCAGCGCATTGGCGGGTTTGATAATTCGAGACAATGTTATTTATTTCTTTACGTGAGGCGAGTTTATTAATGGTAATGAACGTGCTGAAAATACTTGACAGTGCGTTTATCGCCTTGACGCTTCCTTCCTGCGCTCAGATCATATTGATTACTCTCCACGTATTTCGCCTTTCATATTCAATATAAACGCTCAGGGCTAATGGTGCATGTAGATGGACCTAAGTGACTACTTGGTCCCACTTTCCTTGTCTACCATGGTGGGAACCCTCATGAGCAGTCTGCAGTTGTCCATGATTGGGCCTCTCATGATGCTCAGTATTAGGGAACACGACTTCAATCAACTCAGAGGAGGGACTTCGAATGACCTGGACGCCAACACAATGGAGTTCGCAACTTTTGGCATGGGTTCTAGTTACTCTGAGGCCCTGAATGAATTGAATGACTAGTGTTAGTGCCGCAAGGCTAGCTCAGGTTTCCTTATGCAATATACTTTGTTTATATCACACAATCTAGCACGCATGCGATCTTGCCCGTGTATGTAGGAGACGCAAGCAGAAATGGACATTGCATAACCTTTACAATGGCGATATAAAATGAACATGAATAGCTCTACTTAATTATTTATGGATCCCAAATGCCTCTTTCTAATTATTTTCTATTTCTTTCAAGGTTGGGCGCATCTTCTCCAACATCCACAAATCATGCTCGCACCGCATCGGCTCTCCCCTCCGCACTCCAGGATGCCAATCCACATCCATATCGTTCGTGCTCACGGGGTACACCGTCTCCCCATCCACACCACACCAGTCAAAGTCGATCATCAAGGGCCGTTCGTCCTCCGCGGCGATCATCACGTTCGCCGAGCGCAGATCCCAAAACACGAACTTGCCCGAATGCAGCGTCGCCACCGCCCTTTCAACCTGAGTGAACACTGACGGCGGGAGTACGTTCCCGCCAAACGCCTCCTCCGCGTTCGTTCCCTGGATGTACTCCATCACCACTAGCTGCAGGTCGCCGATCCCGGGGCCGGCGTGTAGCAGACGCGGCGCCATCCCGCGCGAAGCGAGAAGAGCGTGGGCAGCTGCGTTGTACCGCTGCACGAACTTGACCACCAATGGTGCGCCAGTGTCGCTGCGTCGCGCGCGATAGATGGGTTTCACGGGGCTGTCGTCCGCGAGCTTGGTGATGTACTCCATTGTCACTGTCTCGCCCTCTTCAGCGCCGTCGACGCCTCTGTTGAGCACGAATTCATGGAGCCAGGGGAAGAAGCGTTCGCCAGTAGGCGCGGGTGGTGTGGGGATGTCGGGGAATGTGCGTTTATAATAGTCGTCGAGGGCTTGCAAGCCGTTTCGCAGAGCAACGAGTGTGCGTGCTGCGTCATAGAGATGCATCTCTTCCGTCTGATAGGCACCAATGCGCACAAAGTCCGTGAGAGGTTCGGCTGCTGCATACTCGGTGAATGCAGCGCCGTGAATGGCCATCCACGGACCAGCGATGGAGATGATGAACGCAGGGCAGGGGCACGCCTTACGATAGCTATCCAGCTAGGAACGAGGAACAGCATAAGCCAATGGAGCTAATCGACGTGAATAAAACGTACCTTCTTTTGTGCCCAGTACTTCCTGTACGAGAGCGCACCTTTGATACTGGGGTCCACCCCGCCACTTCCCATCTCGTTCTGCCACTCAATAACACCACGGACAAGCTCTACACCCCCCACACGCGTAACAATAGCGTAATCCGAGCTCAATTTATCTTCCGTCTGAGTGGTCTCGATCTTGGAGCCCAGAATAGCCTCTAGGAAGGGAAGCGTGGCCGTGCGCCGCTCTTCGTCCGTAGCGTATGGTCGAGCCCAGAGTGTCCGCAGGTCAGACGTCCACGCGTACTGATTGTGCGTGATAGAGAGGTCAACATTCGCGAGATCGGCTTTGAAATCGGCGAAGACGGAGTTGTACAAGCAGACTGGCATAGCCCGGAGCTCCGCGGGCCGGCCGTTGAGGATAGGGGCTATTCGCTGCTGGTCGCGGAAGTTGAGAGGAAGGGCGCCTTCCGCGGGCGGAAGGGCTCTACGCGCGGCTTCGACTGCTCTTGCTTGGTCTGAAAAGACGTCAATGCCTGAGGGTGTACCGATTCAGTTTGTAGTGAGTTCACTTACGTTCCTCGAGCAACTGCAATCGTCTAGCCTTACGGTCTTCGTCTCCCTGTGACGATGCGATGGAAGGCACGGAGACATGAAGATCCCTTGGCAGCTGGACAAGAAGGTGAAGGCCGCCTTTCTCGAGTGCTTTGTAGAACACTTCCTCGAGTCGCGTGCACGACCATAAGGTGTCGAAGCGACCGGGATCAGCATCACCCGGAATGTGCTCGTCGAACGACACCTCTACACTGTCGAGCTCGGACAACGGGATGGGGACTTTTGGCTTCAGGAGATTGAATTGCAGGATGGAGAGGCCGTCGAGGTCGGGATGCATAGTAGCCTTGATCGCTTGCTTGAGGTTGCTCACGTCCACTCTGGCGTTCATGGGGATCTGCAGGGCGAAGACATCGCTCGGGGAGAGCCTGCTAGGTTTGAGGATGCACCATGACAAGACGAGGTCGGGGACAGAGGCCCTCAAGGCATCCATGGTAGAGGAAAGCAAGAATGACGAGGACAAAGGCTCGCTCGGTGACGACGTTATGGAGAGATAAATGGCAAGGATCGGGGGCCGCTCCTGACCAGATGAGCCGCCTCAGTGTTCGAGCTGTCATAAATCTCGTTCTCAGCGATAACGAGTCTCGTATATCCGGCTTCTAAGCGCGAAATAAGGTCGTGTGCACCTTGGTTCCCCGTCATTCATAGTACCCGGGCCAGGGGAACGCTAGCGAAGATGTTTGATGGTTATTTTCAGAACGTAGCAATCAGCTGATAACTGTGAATGGTGGTGCTTAGCATCAATATGGAAACGAAAGTTCTTATTGTCGGTGCGAACATTCTTCCTGCCAGCTTCATGTCAGCGGTGTTCTAGACGAGAAGCCTATAACAGTTTGTCAGAGCGTCAGAGCATCGGAGCATTTCGGAGTCTGAAACATAGGCATCAGCACTGCCACCGAACTTATTTCCCATCGCTAATGGCGGCCAACGAGTAGAGCAAGGCAGCGATGTGGCGTAGAACAGACGCAACAGTTATTACGAGCGGATACGTAGGATAAAATACAGAACTAGGAGGCAACGTGGATTTTCATTGTTAGAGAAAGGGAAGATTAACCACCACTGTAAACAAGACTAACATAGAATCCAGAAGATACCATTGTATACAAGAGCGGTATATGGCTGATCCTATGTATGATACAGGACTAGCCACGATTAAGAACCAACAGAAACCAGTCAAACTGAAGAAAAAGAGTGGCGCGCTGGTCCCAATTACAAGGGACAGCAGCAGGTTACAGCAGCGCCAACCACGACAACTACCGTGCCTACTACAAAAACGAAGGTGGTAATCTGATCCCGTCAAAGCTCGAACAGCATATGCTTTCCCTTGCTAAGCACCTCCCGCATCTCGGCGTTCCAGTCCTTGACCTGGGCACCCAGCTCATTGAGCATCGCCTCGATCTCGTCGAGCTCGGAATCGAGCTGCTGCTGCTGGGGGCTGGGAGGCTGAGGCGGTGGCGGGGAGGTGAGGACAACTCTGACCCAGTCGTCAACTGGACTGGGGCTGTTCTCCTCAGCGGGTTCTGGCTCTGAATTTGTCTCTGAGTCGGAAGAAGCCGCGAAGAAAAGGTTCACATGGATGTTGACATGCATTGACGAGCACCCGAAAGCCTGAAAGACGCTCTCGGGCTTGATTAAAAACATAGCCTCCGGTATGGCAAGGGCGGATAAGCCACATGACGTGAATATTGAAGGCACCAATGACGCTAGAGAAGTGGGATTACCATGTGGCTTCACCTTTCATCAATGTGAGTAGACTCACTTTGACTTGCAGCCTTCCGAGCTTCGGCGATGCCAGTGCCGACAGTAGGAGCCACAGTCTCAACTACATCTGAAGCAGCAGATTCTGTTGGTGATGTAGCTGATATTGAGGTGACGACTGTGATCAGCATCGCCTGCATTGTCAAGTTCAGGGACACGCGACATACATTTGACTTCATCGTCTATACAACACTCCTCCTCAGCCTCGGTATCAAGCGTAGCCACGCTGTCCCCGTCCGAGTCGTCGAATAAAGAAGAGACCGAGGACGAAGGCGACATGTCGGAGCTCCAGCTACGACGTTTTGGCATGGGCGAAAAGTCGGGACCAGGATTTATAGCTTTGACGCGTTCCAGATGAAGATTACGAAGTCTGCGGGTTCCTAGACCAAAGGGGGGAAGACTGTCCAGGAGAGGAGATGCCCCGTTGGCAGCGAAGCGTCTCTGTCGATGAGCAGGACGGATTGGCGTCGAGGTGAAGCAATCGTCAGAGGGTATGGGTGCGTCTGAGGGCGATACGGGACTAGACGAAGAGGCCTGTAGACAGGAAACGAATGGCGAACTTTCAGCATGTTTACGAGCCTGGGAATTGTTAGCGAAAGCCAGAAGTGGAAGATTGACGTTGCTCACTTTCACCAATAAGCGCCGATGGTGCTCGAAGCCCCAAGTGACCTGGTATGGAGAATTCCCTTGTTCCGCTTGATCGTAGACGGAGTCGGGGAAAGGAGAGGATGCGGTGTCGTAAGCCCCTATGTCTTGTGTTAGTATGTAAGCGAGAAAAGCATGCGCGAGCTGCGTGACGAGGGAGATTTACCTTTGGCTTTGCGTGTCGACGGTAATCGAAATACCCAGGAGCAAGCCATCCGAAGCAGTTGATTGATTCGCGAGAGGGCGGAGCGGACGAGGGGAAGAGTGGTGGATGTCATGACGAAGCTAGTAAAGAGCGAAGACTTGTAAAGACAGTGTACGTGAAGAATTGTCGCGGCTAGAGGGAGGAGATTGCAAACAAGAGAGACGAGGATGGAGGAAGCTCCCGAACTGGCTTATAAGCGTAGAGTATCCGTCATTGCATTTGAGACCAACACGCTGACGAGGCTAAAGTTCAGACGGGTTTGTAATGACCGGTTGGAAACGCACCTGCCGAAGCCTTGGCCAGTGTTTGGAAAGCCAGCGCCGTCTGGCAGGCCTCTATCCATCGCATGCATTGAGAGCCGCTGCATGGTCAGTACGTTGATAATCCTCGGAGAACGACGTCCCTACCCGCGTGTTCATGTTCCGTAGCTACCGCGCATTACATAGAGGGTATGATACACGTGAGGAAGTTATCTTCCATTATACGGGTGTTTAGCACTTTAGCGGGCAGATGGAGGCGTTGAAACGTTCGCGTTGACGTTCAACTTGAAGCTTTGAAGTGTTCATAGCCCCTATCCAAATCCGACGCGGTTCTGCTGCCACCGATTGGATCGGAGCACAGATATCTAATCAAGACAGTTTCACACGGTGTACAATGTCCAAAACCCTTCAGCTGTACGAGTGCTGTACGAAGGCCAACGTGCATCAGCGATGTTGAAAGTACGAGTGGTACTTCACCCTTTTACGACTTCTATTGGTGTATACCAGGGAGTCTCCATCACTTAGGTGATGTTCCTCTATGAGGTCTACAAGTAAACACCGCCATTCCGTTCTATATCGGCGCTCAACGTGTGTATACACTTAAGCGCCTCTTACGTACTCATGACTCGTCATGACCCGCTGCTGTCGCACCAGGCCATGTGGACTTGTAGCTAGACGTCCATGCTATGCGTGGTTTAGGGCTGGCTCGTTACGAATACCAAGGGGGGTTCACTCTTAGAAAATGCAAATAAGAGTCGATTTTTTCGGGGACAGAGGATCGAAGTCCCCCCCCTCCCCCCTCCTTCCTAAAAAGGATAATCTGACTTCAATCTAATCTTATCTAGATTGCATTGGGTAATATAACCCCTGTCTCTTGCTACCAAGCTACACAATAGACGTTGAACTACCTACGACGCGTTCTCTTCGCTGGCCTCTCATGCGACGGACATATCCATTTATCGGGTATACTCTTCAGGTTAGTGCACGATAAATGATACTATAATACAATGTTAGCATTATGAAACTCGATGTGGTAATAGAAATTGTACTTGCCCAGATTGTCTCACATCCCTCCGCTGCGCACTCAACGGCCACGCCGTCCTGAATCTGCTCAGTCGTGACGGGCTCGCCGCATTCGCAGGCACCGAAAAGCGCGAGAAGGTTGACCTTGCGACGCTTACGGCCCCTTCGTGTGAGTGTATCGTCGTCAACAAACGTGGGGCCGTCGAAAACAAGAGAAAAATCTTCTATAAAGCATATTAGTAGTAAACATGCAAGTACGAGAGCCGAAAAGACTTACGAGGAGCCTCTTCGGTGCCGGATAAGTGGCCGTCTGATGAATGGTCATCGCCATTGTGCTCGACACCCAAAGGCGAGTTGTTGTCGACGTCCTCAGGCTCGACAGCGGCAGATGAGACACCGTCGTCTTCGTTCTCGCCGTTGGTGGGCTGCGAGACGTCCGGGCAGACGCTCGTTTCGAGGTTTGACGTGCGATGGGCCTCTGACACGAGGAGACACGACTGTTGGGTCTTGCGTCCTTTGGCGGGCGCCGGTTGCTTGTAGCGACCTCGCCAAACAGCTTGCATGAGGTCTCCCTCCGTAGCAGAGACCTCATATCGGACGATAAGGGAAGGTGTGAGGGCGGACTCAGCGTGTTTGGTGCGCAGATGAGCCACCATGGCATAACGCCAAACGGCTGGGCTTGTGGAAGAGCAGATAGGGCAATAAATAGGGACATTTGTACAGGGAGAGGACTTGCCATCTGAAATTCTCGACGCCGGCTGATACGCAAAGGTGACCATGTTTGGGCATCGGGAGCGATCGTAGTCGACTTGGATGCTCGCTTTGGCTCCTTTTCCTCTGCGTAGGTAGACGAGGCAGCCCAACGCTGTCACAGGCTGCGAGCACCAACCGCAGCACTCGATGGTTGGGTCCACCGTAGAGTCGAACAAGAGGTGAGCAGCGACATGCTCGAGTACGCGTGGGCCGTTTGAACGACTCCACTCGAAGGGGGGGTGGCACCTTGGGCAAACCTCGAGGTCGCCGTCGTTGGGATCAGCGACGTCGCGAGCGCTGACATCGCAGGCAAATGCTGCGCGACCTACAAGTGCGTGAGCCTATTGCCATGTACGAAATAAAATCGTCAAAAAAAGCGCACCTGCTGCTCGGTATGGGAACAGGTCTGTTGTTGCAACGGGTGGAAGCACTGCAACACCGCGCTTGACGTCGCTGAGTTGCCCTTGCAGGCTGACTGCGAGGCCCTGGAGGTCAACTGAGTGAAACAGGTAGGTGGGCTTACCAACGGTTCTGGTTGAGACCGTTGGATTGATGGCTTGAATGAGACGACCAGGCACCTTGGGCAAGACCGCACCCAGGGTTCCGGTCCATTCCCACTCTCCTGCCTCATCGAGATCCCCGCGTTCTCGGAGATCCAAGATCTGAGATGTAACATACACAGTGTCTTCGGGTAGCGCTCCCACGGGTATGTCTGTGACCGGCCGAGAATTGACGTTGATTGAACTGATCTGTGCGACAGCGGCAAAGATCCTGGAGTCGCACTTGACCAGTGCAATGATGGGGTCGTTGACACAGAGTCGAGCGTCGCCAAATAGTGAGGAAGAAATGAGTAGGTCCGGCTCGTTATCTGGTGCCATGGAGAAGCGAGTGAGGCCTTCCACCCGTTTCAGTCGGTCTGTTGATCCGGCAGTATGCATGTAACGGAAGTACTCGCGCAGGGCACGAGCCTTATAGATACGTTTACCAGCAATCTCGACATAAGGCTTGAACCCCTTCTCGTCAGCGTTGCGTTCACCTTCCTCAGTTGCAAGCTGATCTTCAATGTCCAGGTCCTCGGCTTCTTCGTCATCGCTCCTTCGGATAGGGGCTGCGAGAATATCACCATCTGTTTCAACATCTTCATTCTCCTCAGGGTCCACTTCTCCCACAGTCCGGCCATGCGGGAACAACAGATTGGCCCTGCAGTCGGAAGCCTCTAGCTGGGACAAGCAGGCGACATAGTCAAAGTCTGCATACTCCTTCTCAACATAGGAGCGCCCTTCGTTCCATGGAGTTGCGAGTGAGACGTTACCGACATTAACGTCACCCCGCCAGGAGGCAGGATTGACATGGTCAGCCTTGGCAGATAGCTCGGTTTTGTCCTGTAAGGGTGGCAGCGTGAGACGGCGGGGGGTATGATCCCAATCAGGGTATGCTCTATAGATGTGATTGGCCTCCATGATGTTGGCGACGCGATGGCCGAACTGCACAAGATCAACGTTGCTGTCATTCCCGATCATGGAGCGGCAGAGGCCGAACGAAGTCTCCAGGCGATCGGTGCCGAGGTGAATTATGTAGAAATTTCCGGACAAACGGTCACACTTTGCTTTGGCGATGCAAAAATAGACGTTCTTGATCATGATTTGGATGTCGGCATATAGAACGCGAGGGCAGAACTTGTTACCACCAGAAGGATGCAAGTATAGACATGTAAGGAGGTGTGCGGCTGCGCTGAGGTGGTACAGCTGATCACGTAAGGAGAAATCGATCGCAAGGTAAGGGGAAACCAAGTGGTAGAAGAGCCTGCCAAGCACACGAATATGCCTCCGTGTTGCCGCGAATGCAGGGTGAGCACCTTCCCGAGCCTCTGGAAGCTCCCAAATGGCCTTAAGGAGGTTATACGCGAGAACTACATCCTGCTTGTCATTCGGGTTGAGTAGGTTCTTCACTTTATTTGGAGACACCCCCTCGGACCTGAGATGCCAGCCCAGAACCTCTGTTGTGATGTGAGTCCCGAAAACCATGATCCCCATGGCACGTAAAAGGAGATTACGAAGACGCTTGAATATATGCTTGTAATCTTTGTCGCAGGTGACGTCGTCATCCCCAATCAGAAGATCAAGCAGTCGGAGAGTTTCGAGGTATTTATGGATACGCGACGATGGGGATAAGGGGCGTTTCTGGGTTAGCTTCGCCAGTGCCGCACCTCGCCTTGCCTCCCCATCAGATGCGAGGCAATACAGTCGACCAGGAGTAGGTTCCGTGGCCGAGTGGCAAGCATCAATCACCGTCTGAATTAATTTGGCGTGCGGCTCAGCAGGTTCTGTCTTGCACGTTCCGGAGACCATAACAGGGTAGGCACCATAGGTGCGTGAATTACCGGTGAGAAGACCGATTGCTGCCACGGTTGCCTAACCAATAAGAAATGAATGTGAGTCCTGACACGAGGCGCCCGCGTTCATGGGAACGTACCTCTGTGGCTAAGCGTACATCACCCTTGATCACGGCGTCGCAGATCCTGTCTAACTCCTCCATTGCACTGAATTCCAAGCTAACCTTCGCAGCATCTTCTCTTGCCACCCCGACAATTTTGTTTGTCCGGTCATCCCACCGCAACCTCCCCTCCGTCTTGATCTCGTCAAACATAAGAACATATCCGCTGACATCAGCGAAGGGATCCGGTGCAGAGCCCTTCAGTTCCTCGGTGAGAGCCCATCGTTTCCCATGTCCGAGGGTGTTGCTGACGTTCTCGCAGATTTCTTCCTTTGTCGGAACTCCCGCGGACACCTGGAAAGGACAAGAGAGAGCAACACGGCGAGTGGTGGACAAGGATGGTGCACCAGTCGAACGCTGGAGGATCTCCACTGCACGCGGTCCTGCAACCTTCAGGAGGAGGACGCTGCGTGCCAGCTCCTCAGCTGTAAAACCTTTCGGCTTATAGAGGTTCGTCGCTGCCTTGCCCACCAGTCCGAGCATCGCCCGTGCTGACATTCCATTCTTGAGCCCGACACGCATTAACGCATCGACACGATCCACCCCGCTATGCGCAGCCGCCATCACCAGCTTCTTCAGGTCGTCAGTCGCTGTTGCCTTTGTTGCCAGCTTCCTCGTCAAGTTGGCCTTGTTGTTTCGTAGGATGCGTATGATCTCTGACTTTTCAGCGATGATGTCGAGTAGGCCCTCAACAGGTTGATACTGGTGAGGTGTATTCTTGTGCACTCCATTCACCATCCTCTCCCGCATCCTCATCAGGTATCGATCACGACGAAGTGCCCTACACGCCCCACACGTCCCTCCCTTCTCTCCCACCTCTTGGCATCCAACAGCCGTCAGCCAGATGCGATTACCCAGCAAATGCACGGCCCAAGGCAGCACGAAATTCGCGTGCATCGCGAACGCGTAGATCGTCGACGCCTGCTTGCCCTCGGGGATGGGTAGGGTATAGCCCTCACAGGGGTATGTTGCCGATTGTTGCGCCTCCCTCGCCGACTGCGTGATGCTCATACAATTTATTACGCCAACGTTGATAGCGTTGGACGTTTGAGCATTGGGCTCGGTCGCGTCGACGTCGATCACGTCAAAGGCTCGAGCGTCAGAGCACGTGCTTGTGTCGACATCGATCACGTCGAGCAGTTGAACGTCTGAAGGCATGCTTGCACCCGGAGTTGGAATAGCAGAGCTATGAAATGGTGAGTGTTAACTCAATTGCTCAGTGGTCGTATACTCACAGTTCGTCTATCATGGAAATCAACCTTTTCATCTTCTCATGCATCAACTCAACCTCAACCCGCTTCTCGGCCATCAAAAACTCGAAGAATGAGACTAGCCCATCCACTCCCCACCTCCCTCGTCTGACAACGTCCCGGATGTTGCGATCGCGTCCGAGAAGGGAGTTGAGCGGCTCCTCAACGATATCCCACATGTCTTCCGGCTTCGTCTTGAGGTACATCCGTTCCGCGCCGCTGAATAGCGCAATTTCATCGCTCTTCTTGCCTTCAGGTACCGAGCTTGGCAGACGAGCAGCTGCCTGCCGCAGCTCCTCGATTAGTTCTGTAGCTGCGGCACCCATTTTGTCTACAGACGTGGGCGGCACGCTAGCTGCAACAGGTGGTGCCGAGAGCTGGACATGCGGCTGCGAGCTTGTCGGTGATGATCCAATCGACGTTGCTGACGTCGACAGCCCAGTCAAGGTTGTCGAGGGCATGGTCGAGGGCTGGGCAGGCGCCTGCATGCCTGTTGAAGAGGGTGCAGTTGACGACGTTGAAGGTTGAGGATCTGGGTGCATGCCCATTATTGAGGTGCCAGCTGCGCCTAGGGAAGGGCTAGAGGAGGCTGCTGGGGCTGGAGGAGGCTGGAGCTGGTTCGACAAGCCCATCTCGAACAAGGTGCGTTTTCTTCCATTTCTCTTCTCTGCTTCGCGCTCCCTCAAGTTCTTCCGGCACTTAGCATTCCCCTTGTGCGATTCTAGACTCGAAGCACCTCCCGATCCCACTCGAACATCAGTCCGACACTTGTCGCAGTAGAGGACAGAGTCGGCGTTGTACTTCACGCCGTCGTCAGCCTTCACAAGGTCATTGATTAGGATCTGGTGACATGGACAAAGAAATGGTGCGTACTCCTGCCTTCTTCTTCTTGGTCATCACTTAAAGGTCTTCTAGTGCGTCAAAGAGTAGGTGTATAGGGATGAGGACGGCGAACGGAGCCTCGAGAACTTTTACGACGACGAGTAGATAGCGTAGTTACATCCCCTGCTTCATAGGGACCCTAAGATAGGGTTCGGGAGTAATAATTAGGGGCGCTTGCGCCTAGTTCTGGTGCAAGTTTTGGATGGTCAAAAGTTTCAGCGGCCCGGGCTCGAACCCCCCCTCCCCCCTACCCTTATTCAGCTATTAGAGTTTTGCCCACCCCTTGACAAATACGGTAGTAGATTCACACGCTCCATGTATACTATATATACGAGTCGCTACCATGAATACATTCCTTAGTCTCTTCTACTCAAACGACTACCATCGTCACTCGCAACCAAGCTCTACAAGCTTTACTCAAGTCTTCAACCACTAAGCCCGGTGAGTACGCGCTATCATAGGATTCTGCTATACTCGCGTATCGTGTCTTCGACAAGCGATATCTTCACACATCAAGCACTGATTTCCATCACGGTGTCACGATGGAATGAATACAGCCACCATATGCATTAACTTTGGTTCCGTCGCAACTTTACTTGCGGGAGGACGGCCTTTGTATTTGGAGACAGAAGGTTGCCAAACAACGCGCGACCAAACAGCAGACGACAACAACCTACAGTACTTGATATATTGATATTCCTGACCTCCCATCTGACAGAATTTCGAGCCTAGTGGCACGAGACCCGCAACCTCCGATCGACTTCGCTGTCTTGATGAGAAACTATGTCTTAAACGTCAAAGTACGCATGGTATTATTCTCTCCTTACCATATGATCAAAGAGTGTGGCACCGGACTCTTTAAGATACATCAATAGTAGTACTAGTGGTGAGAGTGTGAGCAGTCTCGCACCACATGTATGCTGTACTCCAAGGATCATGATCGAGATCATCTGATCCTCTTGATTCAGGGCTTGGACTACAAACAGGTTCCCGCGCCACCAACGGCACCTCTGTGACTTCATCTAGCTTCATGGTCATTGTTGGTTAGGTCCTCTCCCTCCTACGAAACGTTAGCATCAGTATATATGCAGACTCAAAGACATATAAATTGCGCGTCGTAGTATTTCCTTAGGCGGAAACAAATGTGGGTTACTATTGTCTAAATCCATTCATAGTGGCAATTGCGTTCTTAAATTTGTATTCATGGAATATGCCGCCACCGTATGACTGCCCTCTACATCTGGGACTGACGTAGTGTTGCCTTCTATGACCATGCTAGTGCTTGATATATATCGTGAGGTCTGAGACACTCTACGATGTTTGTGGCACAGACTCAGCCACAATTCTATCCTTCAAGCTTCACAGGTCAGGCTTGTCTGGGTGCAACTGATATAAATTACTGCACTTACCAGATCACAATCACTAACGTTGCTACACAGGACAAAAAGGTCTCAAGGCCTCATATGCAAGCGTACATTATTGGTTACCTTGAGTGTATACGTACACTTGATGCTGCATAGCTGCGATTCGGAGGGTTATTGATGATCATGTGAGTATGTCATATAGTCCTAGTCAATATCCAAGAGATTAAGTATCACCAATTTTTGTATGGGCGAAACAGGGAATGTGAGCCCTTGAGCTTCTTATGAGCGAATGCATCCCACAACTTAGCTTATTGGTCCCTAAGACAGCGGAATCGACTACAGTAAGTCAATTCTAACTATCCATTGGTACAGCTTGATTGATGGTGTATTCCTTCGTAGGCGTGAGCTATATCCGCAATATGTAGTCTTCTCCACAGCTCACTTACACCTCTCAAGGTGTACGATTTGAGCTTACTCTCTAGCGACATGGAAATCGTGTTGAGATTTTTTAGGCGCGGCGCTCACCGTGACGGTTCAACTTGTCATTTTCCGGTAGTTTGTTTCGTTCTGAACGGTATTTATGACAGTATTATTTAGGGCGCCCACACTCAATCGAGGCCCCTTATCAATGATGGGAGTGAGAATATGGGCTCTCTACGGGGGACCTAGACGCGTGTTGATCTAAGTTGGCACTCTCTTCTCCGTGGTTCAGGTTGCAAACATACTCTTCTCTTACTTGCTCGTATTCCGAAAACACAAAGTGAGTAAGCCTCGATCACCTTACTTGTACAGCCAGTTTTCTCATTGATCCATTGCATCAACACTATAGGTGACTCAAACGGAGGAAGGCGCTGTTTGCTCGCAAACGGCCTCCCAGCTTCAAATATGGTTTAACTTATCCTCAACCATTGTCCTTCTTGCCTATGAAGCCGTCCTATTTGTCATGTCGCTTGTTTCTCTGGCCAAACACTTTCGAGAAGCTCACCGAGTCAACAAAGAATCAATGTTAATCGACAGTATCACAGATGTGGTCTTGAAAGACAATGTCCTCTACTTTTTTGTGTACGCCATGACTCGCAACTTGATGTGCCATAATGAACCCCATTGACCAGTTGTACTTAGTAGTGCCTTTTTAGCATTGACTTCAGTATCAATACCCGCAATATTTCATTTGGTACGTGCTAACCCCCCTTGTTTCTAGAGCTTAAAAAGGCTGATTCAACTCCCAGTCAAGCTACGCGTTTAACGTCGTGTATTCTGGTGTCATCGTGATTATCTTTTACTCGCTGTATTTTTCGACGCTTGGCCCATTTATGATACTCAGCATCAGGGAATACGATGCTAGGAAAATCGTTGGAAGCGAGTCAAGCAACGGAGAGGGACTAGCCGAAAGCTTGGAGTTGGCAACGATACGCTCTCAGCCTGAACACGCAACGGACTATGCTAACCAGCCGATACGAGATTTGGCGTTATGAGCACCTATTTATACAGCATCTTTAGCTTCTTTGTAGGATTTCATGTTAGCTATAATGCTGCTAATGACCGCAATGTCTCTTGTCTACATCAGAGCACTGTTACTTACATGGCCCGAAGGAACGCGGGTAGGGTCCCGAACCAGATTTGAAAGAGTGGTTGGCATCGACACCAGGTGACATCATAAACACCATATGCGCAGCGTAGTATATGATAACAAAAGAAGTGTCACAGACGATCTACAGTACGTATAAAAATGCGTAGTTTTGCTCTCCCCGCCCGGCTCGCTTCGCTTGACAGTCTTGCTACTACGGCGCACGGATAGCCCCGCCCCCAATTGAGCCCCAGTTGATAAGCTATTACAATGTGTCCAATCCTCCAAAATCAGCCAACTGCGCACCTAGTATTCCGAACAAAAGCTCACAGCCATGTTGGTGTTATGCCCATGCACCACGCAAAAATCGGCCCACAAATGTTCACTCCAAGTCTGGCGAAAGCTCGCAAACCAGTGAAAGCAGCTGATCTTTGCGCCCATCAAGCCTGCGCAGCAATGAAGATGAAAAGGGATGGATATACAGCAATACGGTAGTATGTACCGAGCACACAGTTACATCACCACCACTGGTTTATCATCACAATTCACAGGTTTAAAAATGACCGAATGCCCTGGAATCTAATCAGTATTTTACATTACTACTAGTGGCTCCGAGAGAATGATGCTTCTGTCACATGGATGCTATGCCCTGGATAAACATCTGATGTACACGCATGAGCACGTTGAATATATATAGAGCCCAGAAATGTGTCCTCGAAGGTGTAAGTTCCAAATTTCGCAGTGTCGGCTAGCCATGTCCTCATCCTTTTATTGCGGATATATATCCTTGCAAACGGAGAGATATACAAATGGTGGGTCGTGATTTTTTGGACATTTGAGACCTCAGGACATTTGACTTAGAATCTATGCTGTTTTATAGTAGCAATGGCTGCCCTTAATTTGCATACTTGGTGTAAGCAGCAATATTGTCATTCAAACTTGAGATTTATATGGAGCCGCGTCTGCCATAACCACGATAGTGCTTGATATGGATCGTGAGGTCGGCGACGCTCATTGCAATCTACACGAAAGGATCTAACATATTTTTACCCTTCATAGAAAAGACTTGTTTGGGTTAGCATGCAATGCGATCACAATTTTTAATGGAATACAGCTGTTCATATGGTCTTACATATATAGGACAAGAAAGAATCAATTGTTGTCAAGATGTCATATGGAATTTGTCGCAAAGTTCATTTTCCGGCTGCAGCCGGTCGCAATCAACTACAATTACTGTTCAGTCAGAATGATTTAATAGTATTTTATATGATTGGGAGCACATTGCAACTGACACGGGCGATTGCAATCCACTTTGAGGAGCGTTGCAACCGCTTGCAGCTTAGACGTAATAAAATCTCAACCATAGTTGCTAAAAATACTCTAAAATCCGCGAGACCTCCACTGCATTCCCGCCTCAATTAAATTGCAGGCTGGTTGCAAGGCACCAAAATCGGAAATGGTTGCAATCGAACTATTAAATTTGCGACATTGTACGTCCACTTTTATGTCTTTTCACTCTCTTGATAATTTTGGGTCCTATATAGCTGCGATTCGGAGGACTATTTATCAGCCTGTGAGTAAGTTGCTCGATTAAGCATGCGGAGGTTAATACCTTTTCCTTCTACCATCGTGTCAGGAGATGTGGGCACTTTCGAATTCGAATTTCAGGAATGCGTAAAACTCACACCAAAGATCAGCAATCCCTGTGACAACCGAATCAATCACAGTGAGTGGGTTTATTTTATCTCAACTTATTTGTGACCTGATGACACGTTCGGTTATAAGGCGTGAGCAACATGCGTTTGCGATGTATCCTTTCCCATTCTCTGCTCAATTGCACCTCTTTAGATGTAAGATTTTAGCTCGACGCATGGGTTTAAGCTTGCCACTAAGCCTGCTCAAGGTTCAGCCTTTATCTTTATAGACCAACTTGTCGCATATCCGGCAACGTATTTTGTCTTGAACGGTACGTACAAACAAGTTTCATAAGAACTCAGAAACACGTTCAAATATCTCCACTTAGCAATGATGGGCATGAGAATATACGCTCTCTACGGTGGATCTAGATGTGCATTGATCTGCCTTAGCGTCCTGTTTTTCCTAGAGCAGGTTGGGTATATAGGTTTGATATACTATCTAATGTTCCCCCGATCACCGAGCAGTAAGTTACATATCCCGTGTCGGACAATCTTTCGTATGCACACGAGCTAACTACCTACTGCTCCCCTTAGACGTGCTAATGATACAAGAATACGGAGCTATCGTATGTGGATACTTCGGCTCTCCCCTTCAACGATGGCCGAGCATGTCTTCACTCTTTTTGCTTGCTGCCTACGAAACCGTTCTCTTTGCAATGTCGCTATTCCTTCTTCTCAAAGAATCAAGAGAAATTTACAAATTCAATAAATCGATCAAGAGGAGGCCATCAATTAACACTTTAATAGGAGTAATCCTAAAAGATAACGTGATTTACTACTTTGTGTTAGACATGTCTTTTCATCGACCTGGGAAACACGATGCTGAGAGATATCATCTAGAGCCGTTATTTGGATTACTTCGCTGGCAGCCTTCAATTTGCAGCCTCCGGTACGTCACATTTTCACTCCTACTTTGAGGGTTCTGGAAAGAAATTAAACGACTTCCTAGAGCGGCTGTTCATTTGCCCTTATATTTTCTTATGCGATTTACCTCATCTTCGACTCCATATATTCTTCAATGCTCGGTCCATTCATGATGCTCAGCATACGAGAGTACGATGCTGTCCAAGTAGCTGGAGGCGACTCAACCCGGGATGGGGAGGAACTGGTTGACACTCTGGAATTCGCGACAGTACCCTCTCAGCCTGAACACACAGGCATGTAGTCAACGCCATACCGCCTCTTTGATACAGGCTTGTTCTGTATGATATGACCTCGGACTTACACAACATGATCTTTATTTACACTCGCGATGACGACTTATTAATCTATACTGGTGCGCGAAATACTCATAAAAACAACAATGGTAATCTACAGCATACGCTCTTTGAGCGCACGAGCAATGCAGCAAGCGTTTGCCTCCTGCCACACAATACACACATGTCATCGTGCTACCACGGCGCACGCATGCCCGCCCCGCCCCCAATCGTGCCTCCGTTGGTAAGCTATCATAATGCATCCAAATCATTCGAAATCAGCCAACCGCGAACCACATAAGGCGAACCAAAACTTACAGCCGTGCTAATCTGCTTATGCACCAGACACAAATCTGCACCCAAAACTCCGTTAAGCATCCCGTACCAATACCCAAAGAGAAGAAAGGGAAAGGAAGAGAGAGGGGGAGACGCACAATCCATATAGCTCATCGCACCATTATTCTGGTCCTCGACGAGCATATCCGCAAACTCGATCTCGCCGCCGTCGATGTTCTGCCGCACGAACGCGATGCGCGGGGTGTACCCGCGTTGCTCCGCCCTGTGTGCGAGGATGTTGCGCACCTGCGCCGACAGCCGGGTTTGCAGGACCGGGAGCTCTGTCTGTGAGCGAGAGAGCGAGCGAGGCACACAGGTCAGCGGTGATGACCGATATGGACAGGGGAGGCATTGAGAAGAGAAAGTGGGACGCACCCAAAACGGATCAACAGCCATCGGCTCGTCCACCCCAAACAAATCGTGCATAACCTGCGGAGAAACACTCGACCCGATCCAAAAGATCATCGTCTTCTCATTATCTACAATCAATGTCAACACGCTCCCTTCCCCCATCCCCAAACTCCACCCAGAAAAACGCAGACGCACCAGCGAGATACACCCCGCCCGCCTCCATCCACTCGTGCCCGGCGCGCATAAGCGCCGGCCAGCCCGAGACGGCGCCACCACGCGCGGGATCGGGGTCGGGCAGCGCGATAACGTCGTCGAGATCGTGCAGCGCGAGAACGCGCGGGTACAGATGCTGCATCGTGCTGCGCACGCTCGCGCCGCGCAAGAAATGCGCGTGCGCGTTGCGGACGTCCGCTGGGACGGTGCGGCCTGATCGCAAGGCGGTAGATGACAGGTCAGAAGCGTGGGTGGGATGGAGGATGGAGGATGCGGACCTTTGAACGCCTTGTTCTTCGTGATGCCCAGTGTATACACGGGCAGAGCGCGGAACGCCTCGGGGATGATGAGCTACCAGGCAACCCGCGTGAGCGTGATGGTCATCTCCAGTCGCGGCGAAGCGAAAAGAGGCGCACCTGCGAAGGCGACGTCGCAGCGGCGCAATTGCGCCTATACCCCAGCAATATCGACGCACACCGATCCGACAAGTCCTCCTTGATATGCGCAACCTGTCGCGTCTGCAGCTGCGTCGCACCTGCCCACAACCATAAACAAAGATCATCGACCGCGCATCAGCTCGAGCACGACCAGCTACACAAAACCTTTCTCGCAACTCAAAAGTTCAAAGCGAAAGTGACGGTGAACGAGCACGAAACGAAGAAAAACCCAAACCCAAACCCAAAACAAAACAAAACAAAACCACTCACACTCCCTCGCAAGCACACACACAACCCCCTCCACATCCGCCCATATATACACATTCCCCGCCATCTCCGCCACCTGCGCACTCGCATTCACCACCCGCACCCTCCGTTCGCCCGCCGCCGTCGTGTGCAGCACCGCCGCCTGCACGTGCGCGAGCCCGCGCGGGTCGAGCTGCGCCGCTCCCGATCCCCCGACGCCGATGCCGGTGTGGGCGAGACCGAAGGAGAGCGTGCTGTCTGCGTGCATGTACGGGATCGAGAGCGCGGGGAGGGCGGAGGTGGAGGAGGGCGAGGGGGCGTAGAGCGATGTGTACGCTGTTGGCTTGAGGCCTGACGCGTGAAATTGAACATCAGCACTGGATTTGTTATTGGAGTTGGCGGGTCGAAGGTAGGGGTAGGAGAGAACGAGGCAGACGTATCGACGCACCCCTGGAGCACCGCACGACCATCTCCCCATCATACACCGTCGTCCGCCCGAGCGCCCTGCGCACCTGATCCTCCAGCACACGCCCGTCCCGCGCGGGATCGAACCGCGCGTGCAGATGCACATCCCCGCCCGTCGAGCCCGGCACGATGCCTACACGTAATCAAAAAAAAAAGTAAAATAAATCGCTACATCAGCCCCCGCCTCACTCAAACATCAACCCACCGCATCAAAAACTCACCCAAACTCCCCAAATCAACCCCCCTCCCGCCCACCCACACACTAACACCCACCCCCTCCGCCTTACACGCCTCCGCCACCGCGCGCCACGCCTCGTTCCGTGGCGTGAACAGCGTCTTCTCCCTATCAGTACCATACACTCGCGCCTCCTCGTCGGCGGCGAGGAGCGAGGACGCGGGCGGCATTGCGCCCGGCCCGAGTGTCGGTGGGGATGTGAGGAATGTGAGGATGTGGCCTGCTGTAGGGGTCTGTGGGTTGTTGTGTTATGTTGTATGTAGGACCGGATGGGTTGCGTGGGTCATCAATAGATGTGGAGACCGCGAAGACGAACGGGTTGTGTGTGGGAGTACCGACGAGCCGCGGTGAGGTGAGTTGCGTCAGACAGACAGGAAGAGACGGGGGACGTACGAGCGCAGCGAGCCCGCCGAGAATCGCGGCGCCCAGTGCGGACTGGTTTGCCGGTGCGGCGGCGTTGGCGAGGCGCCCGGGGATGTCGCGCAGGAGCGCGTCGAGGACGTGCCTGTTTTCATAGGTCACGAACGCAGGACAACGAGGTAAGGATTGGCACGCACTTTGACTCGTCGGGGTCACAGAACAGCCCCTCGCGCACAGGCACAAACGGCTCGTCGACGTCCGCGACGACGCGCATCGGCGCTTCTCGTAAGTTCGGCTACACCATACCCCGCCCGACACACATCAACATCACAATCGCCGTCCCGGAAAGCCAGAGTCCAACCTACACCGTCCCATTCAGCCCTCTCACACATACAAAAACCACACTCACGCTCAACTCCCAAAACGCCACACTCCTATCAAAACTGACCACCCCGATCCTCGCCTCCCTCGGCACACACCTCGCGAACTCGCTCCCGTCCTCTCTCACACCGCCATAAAGCGCGCCCCTGAGCGCGTCGCACGCCGCTCTGAGGAAACCCGAATTCACGGCGTCCGCGGTAGTGTCGAGCGCGAATATCATGTGTATCGGGCCTGGCGCGCGGGGTGTGGTGCGCGGTGGAGTTGGGGGGACGTATAAAGGCGTGGAGAGGTCCGATGTGAAGGGTGCGAGCGCGGGCGGAGTGTGGTATGCGGGTGCGGAGGAGACGCGGAAGTCGACGGTGCCGCGGCAGAGTTCGGGGCGTTGCAGCGCGTCGAGGCGCTGCAGGTTCGCGTCGAGGTTGCAGAAGTACTCTGGGAGGACTGTGCGCGCATATGCGTACGTAAATGAAGATGACTATTGAGGTGAGGATGAAGGTGGAATGGGATGGGAACGCACCCTCGTTCTCCTCCGCACACAGCATACACCGCCAGCGCGCCCCGCCGGCCGTCCACTGCGCCCACGGGCTCACGTACGCGCGGCAGCCCCGGCACCGTGGCGGGCCTGCTTCGCCAAAGTCCACGAGCGGGACGGGCTCCTCGGGCGGATCGCCGTCCGCAAAGGGCTGCAATATCCCGCCGAGCGGTATGCCACACTCGCGCGCGAGCGCTGCAGACGCGGGAATGTGGGTGGTGGTGAGGCGGAGGTGGCGCGGGCTCGCGTTGCCTGTGCTCGGTCAGGGGAAAAGTGAGAAAGCGGTAGAGCGCGTGAGATGGGGCGGACCTTGATCGAGCGCGACATAGTCCGTTGTGGACAGCGGGGGCGTCTTGCCCGAGAGAGTGGCGTATGTCTGGTTCTCCCACTCGTCCCTGTCTGCCTCGATGGCGTCGACGGGGCTCGGGATCTGGGACGGGTCGATGCGGGCGCGCAGGCCTGTAGGGTGATGTCAGCCAACGCGATAACAAAACATACAGATAAAAAGGAGAGACCGCGATAGGCCTCGCCCGCACTGTGGGGTGGCTGAGGGATGCCGGCACTGGGCTTGGGGAATGCGTACATCCCAGATCTTCAGCTGCAGCTTCAAGCTGGTCGTGTCGCTGAGGTGTCGGATGTCGGATGTCCTCCGCCCACCACCCGGGAGATGCCGAGGAAGTTACGTAAACACAATGGGATGGCTGTCATCCTCGAAGTCAGCGACGGTGGACTGGGAGAGGAAAAAGAGAGAAAACGCGGGGACCACGCTTTAGGTGCGCATACATCCACCCTGCCTCGCTGCACACTGCAAAACTGAGAAATCGGACAGACGTTGCTTTGTGGGTCCACGCCCTGCTTTTTCCCATCCTACCATCATCTCTTCTCCTTTCTTCTCCCTTCTCCATTGTCATCCTTTATCACAACCAGCATTGCCCCAAAGAAACGCATGTCATAATGGCGTCTCTCCTGTATGCGCTCGACCCCAACGCGCACGCCTACCCAGACCCCCACGCACCCTCCCCGCCCGACCCATCCACATCTGCCACCCTCGCAAACGCCACCCACTTTCCCCCACCCGAGCCCACCCCGCCCCCCATTCCATATCTCGATGTCTTCACCCCCGACGGCTACTTCCGCCTCCCTACAGCACCCCCAGCTAAAGACGCTGATCGACCTCTCCCTTCGTCCACCGCCTCCACTCCCCGCGCGGATTCTGTAGCCTCCTCCAACGCCGCCACTCCCACCCACTCCCCCGGTCCAGATCCAGACCCAGATGCATCGCAGTCGATGCACGCAGACACAGATCCAGATCCGGATCCCCAAAAGCATGCAGACACCCCGCCGACCCTCTCGCGCGCCCTCGCACTCGGCACATCCGCCCTCCTCACCCTCATCGAGGCCGAAGCCGAGGCGGCCGCCGCCATCGTGCGCGGCGACCTCGCGGACGCGCGCGCGGCGCACGACGCCGATGTCAAGGCGTACACGCACGCGTGGGAGGAGGTCGTCAAGGACAAGATCAAGGTCGAGAGCCGCATCCACCTTCTCGAGTATCAGTTGAAGCACGCGCTGAGGGACCCCGATGCGGAGAGGCAGAGGCAGTGGGAGAAACATGTCGAGAATGCCGAGGCGGAGATGGAGAGGGAGCGTAAGGCGCAGTGGAGGGCCATCGCGAGGGTGGTGAGCGAGTCTGGGGGGAGGCTGAGGAAGAGGCAGGGGAGTGGGGAGATTGTGCTCGAGGTCGGCGAGCGGTGGGTCGCGCTTTTGCGCGGAGAGGCGGTGGGCGAGGGAGAGGACCAGCCGATGCAGCTGGACGAGCACGACCTCGACAAGGACGGCCACGTCCCCCTCAGCGCCTTCCACACGCAGCTCGCAGAGCACCTCGCCGCGCTCTCGGACGAGCGCGATGCGCTCCAAACAGAGCTCGACGCGCTCCGGGGCGAAGACTCGGCCGCGCGCGAAGGGCGCGAGGCGCTCGACGCCCTGCGCGCTAAATACTCCGAGCTCGAGGCAGCGCACGCCGATCTCACCGAGCGACATACCGCCCTCGAGACATCGCACACCGCGCTCCAGCGCGAACACACCTTGCTCGCAGACGAGCACCGGTCCATGGGCACGCAGCTCGCCTCGCTCGCCTCCTCTCTCTCCTCTACCCAATCCTCCCTCGCCACAACTCAATCCTCTCTCTCGGAAACACAGACCACTCTCTCCTCCACCCAATCCACCCTCACATCCACACAAACGCAACTGGACACGCGCGACGCGGAGCTCGCCGTGTCCCAATCTATCGCCGAAGACGCGCAAAAAGCGCTCGAAGAAGCGCTCGCGGCGAAAGACGCCGCCTCAGCCAACCTCGAGCCACTCGAATCCTCCCTTGCAGATCTATGCGCGAAGCACGCCGAGCTGCAGACGGCGTACGCCGAGCTGCAAGCTCAGGGCGGTGCTGATGCCGAGAAGGAGAAAGAGATCGAGGAGGCGAAAGCGAAAGAGAAAGACATGCAACGCACCGTGGACCACACCAAATTCGCGTTGCTCGAGATGATAGCGCGTCTAGCCCGCGCACGCGAGAACGAGGACGACGCGCGTGTGGCTCTCGCTGCTGCCCAGGACGCGAAGCGGGCGCTGCAAACTGCGTTAGAGCGCACGGCGCGCGCGGCGGAGGAGGGCCTGGGTGCGGCGGCGAGGCGCGAGGCGGAGCTAGCTGGAGAGAGGGATGCGGCGTTGGAGCGCGCGGAGGGACTCGTTGGTGAGCGGGACGCGGTCGAGGCGAGGGTGAGGGAGGTCGAGGCGGAGGTGCAGGCGCTCACGCGGACTCTGGGCGAAGCAACGAAACGCGCGGAGGATCTCGCACTCGAGAGGGACGGTGCGAGAGCGCGGGTGCGCGAGCTCGAGGCTGCGCGGGAGGACGACAAAGGGAAGAACAAGGAGGAAATGGAGGCGCTCATTCTCGAGCGCGATGCGGCCGTTGCACGGGTGGCCGAGCTCGAACGCGATCTCTCCGTCGCGCGCGGGGAGATGGACGAGGTCAAAGACGCGCTTGGGGCGCTCAGGGAGGCTGCGAGAAAGGAGATGGACGAGGTCAAAGACGCGCTCAGGGAGGCCACGGCCAAGGTCGAAGGTGCCCTCGCCGCCGAGCGCGCGCAGGCTCGGGTGGTGCGGGAGGCGCACGAGGCGCTGCAGACCCAGCACTCGACGCTCGAGCGCGAGCTCGACGCGGAGAAGGCCGACAGAAAGGCGGAGCTCGGGAACACGCTCGATGCCGCGCGCGAGGTGCTAGAGGCCAAGGAGACGCTAATCACCTCCTTAAAGTCCTCGCACACCGAGACGCTCGCGGCCCTCACCGCGCGCCTCGACGCGTCCGAAAAGGCCCTCGTGGACACGACGGATCGCGCACAGGCGCTCGAGCGCGATCTTGCGGGCGCCCGGGGCGCGCTCGCGGCGAAGGACGCGCAGATCGTCGCGTCGGCGGATCAGCGCCTCGCTGCGCTCGCGGACGCCACTGCGCGGCTTGCCGAGTCCGAGCAGTCCCTCGCGGGTGCCCGGGCGCGCGCGGAGGGGCTCGAGCGCGATCTCTCCGCCGCCCGGACGGAGATGGAAGCCATGGAAGCTCGGATCAAGGCGAACGAGGACGAGCGGGCCGCGGAGCTCGGCGATCTCGCCGCGCGGCTGGATGTGGTGCGCCGCGAGCTTGGAGAGGAAAGGAAGCAAGTGGGAGAGCTTGAGCACGCGCTAAGCGATGCGAAGCGGGAGACGAGGGAAGTGGAGGAGTCGTTGGGTGCGTCGCGTGCTGAGGCGCGGGAGGTGCGGGATAGGGCGGAGCGCGAGGTGAGGGAGATGCGCGAGGCGAGGGCCGCGGCGGACGAGCGCGGGGAGCGTGTCAGGGTGCTCGAGGGGGAGTGTGGGGCGCTCAAGGAGCGTGTTGAGAAGCTGGAGGCGGAGGTGGCGCGTGCGACGGCGCGTGTGCTGGATATGCAGCGCGAGGTGGAGGATGCACGCGCGAGCGCTGTGCAGGCCCAGGTTCAAGCGCAAGCTCAGGCCGACGCACCGCCGGTAGAGTCCACCGCAGCCCAAACACAGAAGGACGAAGCAGAATCAGCACAGCTACACAACCTCGTCGAGACACTACGCACACAGCTCTCCGCGCTCGAGAGCCAGCTCGCAGACACGAAGGCGCAGAACGCGGCGTTCGCCGCCGAACGCGCTGCCACGATCGGGGAGCTCGGGCAGCTGCGCGCGCAGGCGAAGGCGTTGACCGTCGAGCGCGCCAAGGTCCGGGCGCAGGCTCTGAGCGGGGCGAGCGGCGTGAATGGCCATGGGCATGCGAATGCGAGCGGGAACGGGAGTGTGGGGAGCAGTTTGACGAGTGTGGGGAGTGCGGGGAGTAGTGGGCTGAGTGTGGAGAGGAAGGCTGCTGTTGCTCGTGAGTTTTTGTTTTCCACTTGGTTTGGCCGCTGGGATAGATGTTGATGGTTTGGTTTGGATTGTGTAGGCCGTTCGAACGGGGCTGGGCAGGGTAAAGACAAGGAGAAGGAGCATCGGAAGGTGAACGGGACCCAGGTCAACGGTGCGTTCTTGATGTTTTATGCGCGCACATGTACCATGTACTCAATCTTACACCGCAGGTATTCGTTCAAACGCAAAACCCAAACCCAGCACCGCCCACCGCCCCCGATCCCCGTCCATCATGCTGCTCGACTCCATGCCCCCCTCCGCCTCCCGCCCGAGCTCGCCCCCTCCACCCCGCCGTGCGCGCGCTGGAGTCGGACGCACAAAACCCCCGAGCTCGAGAAAACGCCCGCACCCGCCCGACACGTCGGACGCACACGACTCGGAGGCGGACGCCGACGGGGACACGGACGACGAGGTCCGTTCGGTGCCGGAGATGGAGGGGCAGTCGGCCTCGCGCTCGCGAGACAGGCGCCGAGACCGCGCGCCGGCGAAGAAGCGCGCGCGGAGACGCACGCCTTCGTCTCCGTCTGAACTGTCGCGCTCGCGCACGCGGTCTGATCGCATGAACCCGTCGGATGACGACTCCGATCCGGACCAGGAGCCGGACCAGGAGCGGGATGAGAATGAGAATGAGGACGTGGACGCGAGCTCTTCCGAGCGCTCGCCGTCCCCGCCGCGCGGCAGGAACGGCGCCAAGTGGTTCTCGCCCTCGCCGCCGCCGCCGGACGCGATCAACGACGCCAGCGCCAGCGCGCGCACGCGCTCGCGGCGGACGAGGCAGGGTGTGGCTGCCACCGCTGTGGCTGCAGGATCCGGTTCTGGTTCTGGCGTTGTCGCCGGCGCTGGTACTAGTGCAGGAGCAGGGGCAGGGGCAGGAAATACGGAGGGCAGGAAGGGTATGCCGAAGCCGCTGACGGCTGGGATCGTGCCTGTTGGGCGCACGGGCGGGAGTACGGCGTCGAGGAGGGATAGCATGAAGGGGGCGGATGCTAGGGGCGGGGGGAGGAGGTAGCGCAGCAGTCGTGGCTCATATTTCCGTTTTATGTTTTTGTCCTTTCTTTATTTCTGCTCTGTGCTTGTTTATTGGTACTTGATGCGGTTTCCTTTGTCGCGGGCAAGCATCCTAGCATTAATCAGTTTAACATCGCGTTCAATTTTTGCGATATTACGTTAAGATGCATGTGGGTACGAGTTCTTAAGCTGTAGCTACAGGATTCTGTGTACTCTATACGTGGTGCTTTCCTGTTGCAAGGGATGCGTCTATTCTGAACTCAATGTCAGCTTTCAGCTTCACGTAGATGCGTTGGTGTACTGCAGGCAAACTACGCTTTTCTCGGGAAGAAAAGGGATTCAGAAAGGGGGCGAGCCGAAGACATGTTTTGCATTATGACGATCGAAGACGAAATGAAAGTACCTCAAATGACATGGATATCGGAACCCTGAAATTCGCTGGGGCTCCACCGCACAGTCAGCGCGAGCAATAAGCCGATAGATAGCGTAAGATGGAAAAGTCTTTGCAAACAAAAGCATTTATGTAGTGTGCAGGGCTTTGGAAGGCTTGCCTCTGAACGTCCGTTGCGGTAGTACACACATACGGAAATCGGGGGCCTTCGCTGAACTATACTAGTCCTTCTCTGGTATTCGTATCAGAGTCAGCATCGTTTCGGATTCATACCGCTTCCATGATGGTGAAATCGCTTCAACGTACAAAATGATACAAAACATACAGCATAAATCATCTTCCACACTAACCTCAGAACCCAGGTCATTACTGCGCATAGCTCGTCCCGTTCTCCGCCATACAGCTGCTCAAGTCCTCACCCGCGCACGGCGGAAACAGGCCCTGGGGCTCGGGACCCGCCTCGGTCAGCAGCAGCGCCGCGACGCCGTGAGAGGGCACGCCGGCAGCGGTGTAGTTGCGCACGGCCGTGCCGTTGTCGGTGTGCGACCACAGGTCGCGGACGTTGTACTGGATGCCGGCGCGCAGCCAGGGCGACTCGGTCAGATTGAAGAACATATCGGCGGGCTCGTCGAGCGTGTTGATCTGTCGTGTCATTCATCAACACCCCAAGTAAGCACGGACGAGTCATGTGAGGAACGTACCAGCATGATGACAGTTCCGTTTTCGCTGGGCAAGCTCCAGTACTGTGCAGGATAGGTGGCGTTTGTAATCCAATCCGGCTAGGAAGTATGGTTGACAACAATTAGTCGCTGCACCACGGAGAAACCGACAAACGTACGTTGATTCCCCAGCGGAACGGCGACACACTCTGCCCATACACGTTGTCTTGACTGATAGCAAGGATCTCGCTGTTCTTCAAGATGTCGACGTTCTCTTGGCTGATGGTCGAGAGCTGTGTTCCATGTCTGCGTCAGCACCTCTCTGGTACTGTTCAAAGGTCACGAACATCGGCACTAATAAGCAGGGGCGACTTCGCAAACGCCCACACGGTGAAGTGCGTCTTGGACTCGTCGTACGTCAGGTTGCCGTTACCACTAGCTCGTTCGTCAGATTTTCCACCACGTTTGGTATAATGCACCGTCTACTTACATCTCCAACTAAATGGGTTGCACAAGCGTGGGTCAACATGTGTAACACTTGATATGTAACCGGGAAACGTACAATATCCATATCATTGTGCCCATAGAATTGGGACCCGAAATTGATAAACGAGAGTCTGACACTCAAATCAGCAGATTGTCTACCTAACGGAGTGAAGGTGCGTACTGATCAATGATGCTCGTGAGGGATGACCAGTACGGTGCGATGTCCCCATCAATCTAATCGCCAAACATCAGTTTTTCCACATGTGCGCACGCGAAATGACATACCCGCCAGCTATGGGCAACCGACGCACCCCAGCTACACCCAAGCATCAGCGTCCTAACTTGTAAGCGTAACATCCACTGAGCACTCACAGCCAAACTTGACTCTACAGGTACGGAATGCTATGAGCATCGAACATATGCTCAGAAAGGAGGTGCTCACCCAGCCCCACTCACACAAACTGTAAACAAACGTCGTGCCTGTGCTGTTCGCGACCCTCTCGAGCGCGTACTGCATGCGCTGGTACTCTTTACGCATCGTGTCACAAGTCAGCACTGCGTTTTCCATCCAGAAAAGGGCGGGTCACATACTGCCGAGAACGTTCTGCTGCACCACGTCGTCGAAAGGAACTATGCGAACGCGCATTAGCCAACAATATCGATCAAGGAAATGCAGTGCTTGAGTGCTTACTGGCACAGTTGTCATATCTATTCGTCCCAATTGATCAACAGAGACGAAACGAGTGATAGCAAGGGCGACGCACTTGAGGTAGTCAAAGCCCCAGCTCTGGAACGAGGCTGCGTCCTGGTCCTCGTGGTCGAACGAGCCCACGTATCCTGCGCAGGTTTGCCAGCCAGAGTCTGAGTACTGTACCCCAGAGTCGGATGATTAGCCTTCCAATACATTTAGGCAAACGAGGAATGAACACCCACGATACCGGCTTTGCTGCAGAGCGGACGGTGAAGCGATCAGGACATATGACGTGAGTACGAAAAGGGGTGAAGTCTACACACAATCCCATCGAGTTGAGCGTAGCCGTGTAGTTATTCATATCTGGGAAGAGAGTCGTGTCTTTCCGTCCTCCATTAATAGCTATCTCATCACAGTCGGCAGAAAGGCTCACTATACTGGATCTCGCCCGACGACGAGCGGGTTTTGACGCCCCAGCAGTCATCGAGGTTGAACTGCGTGTACCCCGCATCGAGAAGGCCGAGCGTTTTCATATACTGGGCTTGCTGGAGTACGAGTTCTTGCGAGATGTCGCACTATTCCATAGATATGTTATACTCAGCAGAGATGATGGAATGAGTGGCTCTATGCGTGACTTACATGGTATGCATTCCAAGCTATACAACCAGCCATGTTGAAACCTCCATCACCTTCCGTACAAAACGGATAGCGACTCACTATTAAAACCAAGAACTATAGGGCGCAGTGAGAACCGATGCCGATGACGCCATACGACTCACTCACCGGGCAACTTCGCAACGCCATTGTTGAGCGCGACCGCGGCAGACGCGTACACCAGCAGAGCAGCAGCACTAAGCATCCTGAGTGTCAGTGGACGGGAAGCAAGAGATAGAGGGGGTTGAGTTGCAGCGCGTGAAACCGTGAGTGAGATCCCTGGTGGGCTACTTATAGCCTCACTCACTCGCCCATTATTGATTCATTCACCGAATAACCATCGACTACCCGGTGTCCGAGGAGTACACACCCATGCACGCGCACTCTTCACAACGATTCACGCGTGCGCGGCACATATGGCTCTCCGACCTGTCGATCCAATTCTCCGCGATCGTGTTTAATGCTCTTCGGGACAAAGGGCTCGTGATGTTCGCTCGTGATCGCGCGGTGCATGTATGTGCGTCGATTTTGGGTCCGCGAGCGCTGAGAGGTACTGGGCCTCAATCGGATCACATGAAGCTGAGGATGACGAGGGCATTCGAGTAGGAGAACGCCTTCAGTCGAGCCATAACCTCTTCAGTAGGCTAGAATATGCTTGATGGAGAGGCTCATATGGGCTGAAGAGGAGACGTCATCAGCGAGGTAATAAGACAATCGAGACTAAAGTACTAACACTGTACTGAGGTCCAGCTGGGTGTTTGGTGTTCGGATTCAAACATGGTTCTAGCGCAAACTTGGCTTCCTCGTACCCAAAAGTGGCCCGAGGCTGCATCGATATGATGACTACGGAACCAAATGGCAAGCGCATTAATAGGACGGGTTTACGATACAAACGGGATGGTTCAATACTTGGCTTCGGAGTACACGGGTGAGAGGCGCATGACTTGGACTCCATGATGGTCGTAAGAGGGGAAGGAACATTTTGGCTAAGCAAAGATGCCGAGGCGAATTATCTTCCGAGAGTGCGTGGGAACAAAGTAACCCAGCTGGCTTACCTCGCCTATCGGAGGAAACCTGACGAGAAGGAGCTGGGCGTATTTATATACCCTGCCTTTTCGCCTCGGGATGCTGGCTCCGTGCGCTCCTTCCGGGCCGCCTTCTCTCGACGATGCCTTGTCGATTCATGGGGCGACAATGAGGGAGGGAAAGACATTGGCTCTGCCTGAGCTAACTTAAAAACTAATCCGTCTATGACAGTTAGTTACACCCAGTGAGGTCGGGGACTACTTCTGGTCTATATCGCCTAAGTTGGATAGCAGTTACCATTGCAGTGGATCAACTCGACACCCATGTGAGTGTTCCTGGGACTTACGACCTGAGCCTTCTGATTTGGATGATTTCTGTCTATCGTGTTACATTGCTGTGTGCCAGTGTACAACGAGCAGGCGGAATCTACGCAGACTTTACCTTGGTAGCGGCGTGCGACTCACCTTGAGTCCCCTGGCGCTCTCGTTTGCGCCATCTTCTCCTACGAACGAACAAAGTTATAGGAGGTACAGTATCTTAAAATGCTACGACGAGCTTGTAGCATGGGATATCAGATCAATGGCCACCTGCGGATGGGATATGTACGGCGAATGTCCGTTGTCCTCTAGTGTGCAACTACGGTATCCGTCAACCAGCGTCCCGAGTATGTCTCTCCTTTGTTTTCCTTGCTTGTCGAAGGCCCACATCAGCTTGTACACTACGGGTAGATCACGAGCCGGATGATGATTGTACGCGTCGTACTCAGGCTCTCCCGCTGCGGCCAACAACGACGACGTGTCAGCAAATCGACGAACTTCTATCGTTTCGTTTTGTTGACGTCGTTGAGCGTAACTGCCCTGGATTCTGCACGGTGAACCTATTGTTTTCCTAGCAAGAGTGCATTAAGACGCCGTAGTCAAGGGACAGGCCTGTAAAACTTGGACGCAACTCACCTCCATTCTGAGACCAGGATTGGACGTGTGGTACTCCCAATGCTTCTCCATCGGACGAGGGTTGGACACACAAAAATGATGCGGAGCACGCCCCCTGGCCTCCCCTCCTCGCGTCTTTTGTCCGAACTTCGCGTGCATAGCCTTGCTGGCGACCATTTAGCCATACGAGTGTACAAGGACGACAACTCGCTTGGCTTCTTTTCTCGACGAGCTTCTCGAGCTCATTTCAGATTGTAATCTCGTCTTGATGCGTCGCACCCGGAACGGGCGCCTGCCACTTTGTGCTGGGGAGGTAGGCGCAGGCGGTGGGATACCCGTACTTATGTAGTATGGCACAGAAGTCGCTGAAGTGCCCGGGTACGTGCCAACGACCATACGGTTTCGGTGATAGTGAACACCGTAATTAGCACGACCAAGGAAAAGGTTTGTGCACCCAGTGAAGTGTAACCGTACCTCTATATCCAGGGCAAGCTGCACTAAAGCTAGCACATATGTGGTAGTGTCGAACCGATGGACACGATGAGAAGAGAGGAGAAGTTATAAACAAAGATCGTAGTCGACAATAGGTCTGTGTTTGTCGTATCAATCCTTTCGATGTGGTAGGCGCTCAATTGTCGTTTGCAGACGCCCAGCTAAACTGCTGGAAACCTCAGACTGCGTACTGACCGGCTGATAAGCACGAGCGGCCATTTCTACTATATCATCAGAAGTGATACTGTGATGGACAAGAAGTTACTCACCATCAGCCAACTGGAGTCTCTGGTACCTTTCCGTACGGTACTTGCGATGATAGAATAACAACAACCCCAACGTGATAAGCAGGATAGCTCCGCCCAGCCCTCCTCCGATGCCGGCTGCAAGTGCCACAGTAGACGTATGACTGGTCGTCCCAGAGGATGATGTTGCAGACGAGGTCGGAGACGAGGACGGTACCGAATTGGACGCTATTGGACAGAGATTGTCAGGGAACGAAGATCAAACAAAGGAGACCACAGCCATACAGTTACTTTGTGACGGGATATATTCGATGAAGTCAAACCACGTATTGCACGGGCAGCTCGGGCTCGTGTTTTTGATAACCAGTGTATGTGTCGTGTCGTTCAAAGCATCAGATGCAAACATCTGATAATGATACAGGGGAAACCCAGTGACGTTCGGAGCCGTAAACGAAACTGGCGACCCTCCGTCGACAGTGTACTGAGTCGTAGGCACCCCGTTGGTGCTAGTCCACCCTGTAGTTCCGTATACTGAGACCCATGTGCCTAGTGGGAAACCCTGTGAATAAGGCACGTTACGTCTCTGGAACGTTTTGACTCGTACCTGTGAATGCAAACGTTGCGGTGTCTCCGATCTGAGTCGAAGCGGAAGTAGTGTTCTTGTACTCGGGGTAGGTTCCACTCGTTATCCAGCTCCCACTGTACCGTATGGAGGCGTCACGATCATCGATAGTCACGATAGATGCCATGACCTTCGAGCGATTAGTTTCAAACTTGAAAATGGTCGGTACATGTCGCGTTATATACCCAGACAATGTCAGATTTGGAAAATAGGCACCGAGGACTCATCAAAAATACAGCGCTGAGAACTCAACGCGCAGACAACGCGCAGACAACGCGTGTGGCCAGCAACCAATCAATTTGCAAGGAATGGACGGAAAGATCCGGAGCTTCCAGACAGCTGCCGTGCGTACGCGCGGACCATGACCGAGCTTGGCCGACTATTCTACAGATGAACGGGGGAGAAACTTGTGCGAGCAGTACTACGCTTGCCTCCGCTGCGTATAAGTATAATGTGCGAGACGATAACATCGCCAGCCATGGACTGCGCGGTGTGCCTTAAGGCAACCTCAAGGTCTTACGAGTTGGCAAGCCACATCACAGCCACCAAGGTGTTAGTGACCGTGAGAAAGTCATCGTCAGGCCCAGCGTGTCGTCGTCTCTTAACTCTCTTCCTCCTTCCCGCCATGCACTACTACCGCCAACCTCGGGCAATCGTAACCATCTCTCTCTCTGGATATCACTGCCAGACATATGCAATATCTGGGATCCGCAGCTGTGGTGTTGTTCTCCATGAATCACGTCCGCGATGAGGTCACTCTGGGGCTGATTAGAGAGCATGGCGAGGTCAGGCTAATCGCAATGACTAAATCTCCGCTTTTTCCAAGATTCTTACGAGTCACAAAAGATCTAGACGTGATGTCTCTCTAACAATATTTCTAATAGACCTTGCGTCATGGTGCTAAAGACCGATGTCTTCCTCTATGGCCCCTTTTCGAGCCCCTCTGGGTGGCTACTCTCAGATCTCCAGCAGTGTCTCCCGTACGAATCGTCCGGATTCCTCGGGTGGACTCCAGGACTGTGCCTGAGGCACCGATCGTCGTTGTGCGTTATGCTTTCATATTTCCTACAGAAATAGAATCCGACGCGGTATCGCAAAATATCACACCTGGAGCACCACGATTGTCCGAGTCGGAATCGCTTCAACGAAGCACAGATGATGCACTCCGGTCAATAGGGGAACGAGTTGGGCCCATTTCGCCTCTCCCGCACATTCTCGGCGTACAATATGTCCATTGCCGAAGTAAGTCTCCGTCCCCGCTCGCTCGTACCCCGCTTTCTGTTTTTCAAACGCGAAGATGCAAAGGCACGCACAGGCACACACCAACCAGCTGAGCTCTCAGGTGGTCTCTGTATGCCCACAGAACGACATAAATAACCGATCCCGCTCGCGATTCACGACATCCAGGCAAGCTTCGTGGCGCCTGCTCCGTCTTTGCTTATACAGGCGCAACATAGACCTCCGATCCGTTCTTCTCCTTTTTTCGGCGCCTCCTAACTCTTCCGGCTTATAAACGGCCGTCAATTCAGTTCGGCGGAAATCCAGCGTCTTCCATCTCTTATCCTCCAGCCACACATTCAATTCCTTCGCCCCTCAGACCCTATTTGCAAACATGAAGCCTTTCTCCTCTACCGTTCTCGCCGTTGCTATAGCGGCGCTCGGCGCCACTCAAGGTGCCGCCAGGCCCGTTGACAAGCAGGAGCTCGAAGCTAGGTAAGCTTTCCGGCGTGTCAAATATCTTCATGCATCTCCAGCTAAACTTCGTTTGTGATAGGCAATTCGGATTTGGAGGCTTTGGCAACGGCTTCAGTAATGGTTTCGGCGGTTTCGGAGGCGGCTTCAACAACTTTGACAATGGCTTTGGTTTCAACCGTGGTTTCGGCTTTGGCAAGCGCGACGTCGAGTCCGAGGTATGTCACTTCAGCCACTTTGTCTTTTGAACTTACCTGACGAAATGATTTATTTAGGTTGAGGCCCTCGCTGCCCGCGACGCTGAGGCTAATGACCTTGAAGCTAGGTAATAATGTCTCCGCCCCTCCGGACTTCGTCTTCGCTAACACCCTTCTCCCAAGGCAACCCGGATTCGGCCGTTTCGGCAACAACGGCTTCGGCAACAACGGCTTCGGCAACAACGGCTTCGGCAACAACGGCTTTGGCTTCAGCGATTCCAGCAGCTTTAGTGACTCCAGTTTCAACAGTGACTCCGAGTCCAGTAGTTTCAACCGTGGCTCCAACAGGGGTGGCTTCTTCAAGCGCGACGCCGAGGTCTGTCTGCCGTTACTCTCCAAGTATTCATTACCGCTGATATTGGGACGCCAGGGCGACCAAACTGAGCAAGCGCAGAGCGTAAGTTATTTCGACCATCTCCAGCGTCGGCCATGCTCATCCCTGTTGTTCTGCCCTTCAGCCGGCGGAAGGCGCCTCCGACGCCACACCCGCCGACGCATCCGCCGACGGTACTACGGCACCCGAGGGTGATGTCAGTTCCTCTTACATGCCCAATAATTATGGTGGTTATCATCCTCCCTACGGCGGTTACATGCCCAACAACTACCCTTACAATCGGCCGTATGGGAACAGTCGTCCTTACGGAAACAACGGCTACGGGAACAACAACCACTACGGGAATAACAACGGCCACGGGAATGACAACAAATACGGGAATAACAACGGCCACGGGAATAACAACGGCCACGGGAACAACAACTACGGGAATAACGGCCACGGGTACTAGGTAAAGTATGGGTTTGTTCTTCTTTCATTTGCGACTTCATCTCATTCCATATTTGTAGATATCTGATCCCAAAGTAAAGCGGTGCAATCCCCATCATGCACGCTGTTGAAGTATTGTCAGTTTTTCTTCTATCGTTTTTCTTCTATCGTTTAGGCGGTTTCGTTTTGTTCCCATGTACGAGTAATTTGCACAAGCCCCATATTGTATCCGTCATTTTTTGCAATTTGAATCGTTTGGTTTGGCCCGAACCTCGTCTGCATCCGTCGTCCCACTCGCGGAGATGATTGGGTATGGTGTTGCCCGATCAGGTATCACAAGTCTCTGCGCTGGCGCTTGGACAGTTAATTTCTCAAACGACGAGGAGAATTCTTTGGGCAGATATGTGTAGCAACGTGCGCAATCGTGTATGTGGTGTACTGTGTACTGAATACGCTGAGTCACTATGCCAGCCTTACATCATCTCCTTACCAATGCAATCTACGATGCTGCGATAAATGATATGTAAATTCCGACGCTATACGCATATACACTACATGCAGCTTGAAATCTAACGTGCACAGAACCCGAGACAATTTCGATGAATGCGTGGTTACTACGATACATGGGCGCGGGTGTGTAGTCTGCTAATTGAAGCTGGTGGTAGGTGTATGATGCGAACGAAGGATGACTGGCGGAGAGTGAACCTGAACTCGCCTTGGAATGTGAAGTGTACGTGGTGAAATAAACGACAGATGAAAAGTCTCGGACCCCAGGCGTCACTCACGCACCAGAGCGGAAACAGGCTCTATTGACGCGATAGACTGCATGAGCGACTCTGCACACGCGACATCATCGAGAGAGAAGGCAGGGGCGACGTGCTCGTTGGACGACCTAGAAGAACCCGAAGAAGAGATCGACGCGGCAAGCTTAACGCTAGAGGAACCCTGGGGCCAAGCACCGGAGACGAGCGTCAAGCTGACGCAGGAGTCAGCCGAGTCGGCATTGTGATAGAATTCAACCTCGTACTCATTGGGGTCAAAGACATCACTATCCATGGAAGTAAGTTGGCACTGCTCGTGCTGGATCGTGTCGTTAAGAGGGGACGCATCTACGACGTGGTTCAGCTGCAGCACCCCACTTTGATCACCGCAGCCAAACGTGTCATTCGCCGCTGTGTGCTCATGCTGAAAGGGAGCCTGGGGCTGGGACGTTGCCACGGGAGAGAAGACACTAGGGCTAGTGGTGGGAAAGCGGAACGACCACATCTGCGCGCGCTCGATGGGAGTAGCTCTCTCACGAGCGGAGCACGGCGACGAGAAACTACCATGGCTGCCAGCGCCGTCTTGGTCAAGCTCGGAGACGAGGTTGCTGCATGGAGAGGGGGTTTCCGGAACACAAGGATGGACGCGAGATGAGGCTTGGGGCGGCGTGAATCCAAACGGGTTTCGACCAGAGTGCTCCACGTAGATGCGCTCGAGAGACTTGTGCCACTCCTTCGGGTATTTGGCCAAGATAGAGCGAGTATCGATGGGTCCGGAGAGCGTATGACCGTGAACGTGAACAGGACGCGTACGAGTGGCTGGAGTTGAGGTGAGCCCCAGCGAGTTATGCAAAGAAGAGCGCGCGGATATTTCCATGCCCCCAGGCATCCGATAGTCTCCCTCAGAGTGGTGTGCCAGCGAGTCTCGTCGGGAAGCGGCGGGCAAGTATGGAGAGTAGGAGACATGTGCGGCGTCGGCGATGAAGAGGACAAGCTGTTCTAAGACCTGATAGGAAGCATACAGCATACACAGGACCTTTCTTTCTCTAACCCGAGCTTGAGAAGTAGAGGCATGGGTGGAGACCAACGGAATGGACGAGTGCAGCGTGAGCCAAGTGTACGAATGTTTCCCACATCGTCAAACCACTATGGTCGTGACGGTTGAACGCCTCGAAAATTTTCCTGTTCAAGGGATGCCCGTTAGCCGAGAGGATGCTGATGAGACGTGAATGCTATAAGAGATGTGTTATAGGGAGTACGAACTTCAATTTGTCGAGCTCAGATGAGTGCCACTCGAACCAGTCTGCAATGTGCACTTCCAGCGACTCACAGATGGTTTGAAGAAGGTAACGGTCTAGATTGATGAAGCCGAGACGCTGGTTGAGGAGTAGGTCAGAGAAGAGACTTGGAGTGGACAGCGTTACGTAGTGCCAATGCCTAGAGATCGAGGCAGAACGACTCCCTAAAGGGTGGGATTAACTGGTGTCTTGGTGAGCCTTCTCAAATATCCCCTCCACCGGAAGGTTGTTGATATCGATGCTCGTGCGTTCCGCGAGAGAAGTCAAGTTTTGGTTGCTAACTCGGAGGTTGAGCGTTCCCTGTACAGCTGGATCCTCGATACAAGGCGCCATGGATCATAGCAAAGCCCATGGAGAATGGTAGCAGGAAATGTTTGTGGAGGTTAGTGGTGTTCGTTGACATCTTCGGGACGCTGTGCCTGTTTACCACGCGGCGTCCATTTCCCACGGGGGGAAGACACGTCCTTTGCCACTCCTTTGCCCATCGACAAACATGACCCGTTGCATGAACTCATACTCGAGCATCCTCGGTCCAATGCTTTCAGCGACGATATGCTTTGACTTCTACTTCTTGGCTACGATCCACTCACTTCATCACGACCAGAGCAGGTCAAGCAGCCCTTCACTGCTTTCACAGGGCTCGCTCATCAGTCTACCAGCTTCATGCATGTCACCGAGCTGAACTCCCGAGTTGCAGATGGAATCTCTGGTATGACTACGTCACACCACTCCCCTGGGTTCAACATACACCGGGCGAAAAGGTGCGGATGCTCGCATTCCGGGAGATCCACCCCCTCCAGTCTACATTCTCTCGCTCTACCGCTCTGTTCATTCCAGGACCTCCGAGGAGGTGCGGAAGGCCGCTCCTCACGCATCTCAGAGGAGTCTACACCGCAGGCCACAGCCTATTCGCTAGGTACTTGCGTGTCCTAGAACCGTGCTGACCACGCGATTTAGAGTTGGACAATGCGGTTTTGGTGCCTCAAGCTCGTTGTTCCTTGGTTCCACTGCTCTCGCGATCGGGGCTAGATCCACGCATTTCACGCAAGAAGAACGTTCTTAGACCTGCTGGAACTAGCTTCGCCTCGACGCCCGTCAATATCCGTCTCGAGGCAGGTACAGTACGTCAACCGTGTGCCCCATTGCCGTCATCTTCATGTTTCAGGCTTGCATCGAGACCATTTGCGTCAGAAACCCATTCATCATCTGCATCTCACATGCATCTTGTAGCGTCTGGATTCTCCCGCGAGGCAGTTCATAGCGCTTTGTGTCACTGCGGTCGTGATCGATCTCATCCGTGAAACCTAAACGCACGCGTCTATCCTGCATGCTGAAGTCGATGGAGATCTCTTCCACGTAAACATGCGACATAGGGCTCGTGCATCGCTCTCCATTCCTAATTCTCTTCACATTTCTGTGGCCGAATACGTTTCCACCTCACGGAAGTCGTGCTTATGAGTTGATCGCGGAGACCGCAGAGGGCATACTTTCCGCCAGGAACTGGGTGTGTCAACTTCCACTTTCATTTCGATCTTGTTCCAGCTGTTCGTATATGTGTCCGCAGGCTTCAACATGTTGTAACGACTGATCGCACGCCAAGGTGACAGACTTGTCATGAAAACATCGTCTATCCATGACTTTCTCGTAAACATGTAGCGTGTGCGATACAAGTCATCATGTGACATTCTAACATACCATCAACCACGCTTCTCCAGAAAACCTTTTCTTCGTCTCACGTCATTTAGCTTCAGATGCGGCAACAGCGCCCCGCTGACACGGTAGTTTAATTATCCACATGTTTTCTCCCTTTTCTCCCATGTTCGCTTCTGCCGATCACTAACACGAGTTGCGTCGCCGCATAAAACCACCGGCTGGCGGATATCGGTATTCTTGATTTGTAACAGCGTGCCATTTCGCGCGCTGTGCGTAGGCTGTCTCCCGAAGGTGAAGCACGTTGGCGCTGATCAGAACTGTTAGTGATACGCTTGGAGCATGTGATGCGCAAGAGATAACAGTGGAAGAAGAAGCGTCGTATCGAGTCAGCGGAAGCAGTTCGCATTGCCTATGATCGGTCTACTTCGACGGACGGTGAAGTAAGTTTCCGAGAGCCTCTTTCAAACTCGAAACTGAAGTTACTGTAGTGAATAACCTAGCGCCCCAGTGTACCTTAACTTTAATGATGACAAATGGCTTCTCTTCTCTGTATGTGCAGTAATTCAAATATTCCCCACCTGCTGTGTCCTCTAACAATAGAGCTCACGCGCGATATATCGGCGGAAATTACCCTGTGAGTCGAAGTACATTCCGTGAGCGGTAATGCAAGGGCCCATACGATGATCTCAACAAAATGGTCGGTTCTCAGCTCTACTTCTCACAACGCCGTCGGTTGGCTTGCCTGAGTATATCTGATCAGCTACGCATGGCGCAAGTTACCTACCAAGTCAGGATATGGTGCAAAAATAATGCGATGTCGTCAGCTCCGAGGACATGGGGATCCGGTATGAACGCCTCCTTTTCTTGTGCCGAGCTTCGTCTGGCTTATTTAGAACATGATTATAGGCTATGCTTTACGCTTTCTGGCAGCGCATGAACGCTGCGCCTTTGAACGGGACCCGGTGGGGACTTCGAACGCGGGGATTAAAATCATTATCGTCATGCGGAACAACCACTTCTACGTCTCCGCACAGTGCTTGCGAGAGGTTTGATAGGTAGGCAGGTAGGTGACCGCCGTACCAGGACGTCCACAGCCAAGTATGTTCGTTGATATGTTCTGTAGCATTGATCAACGTCGGAAGCCAGGTGAACACCGAAATGATTGCAACTGAACCTGTCCACTGTCTACCGTCTGCGAGTCCTAGGAGTTCGGAATTTACAGTTTGCATTCTACCGTTCTCGTGTTTTTTTACGCTTACCAGTGATCCCCTTGCGCTCCCGATGGTATGTACCGAGAGCCTACCGGCTTCCTAATAGCCTCCTCAGCCAAAAAAGCAGTATTGGTGCTGATATCCGGTTTAATTCATCCTTGCCAGCGCCCCCGTTGCGCCCCCGAGAGATACTCTCATTTCAACCATACACATATGCAATAAGCAGTAATGATAGCTCAGCTTGAGCCACTGCCCTATCTCCGAATTACCAGTACTGAGCACACGGTTAACGCGGAGTGATACAGCGAGGGCGCACTGGCACACCCTCGTTTGTTGATCCTTTCGGTCATTGAAGGTGCGTTCTGGTGGGACCCCCATGTTGTTAACATTGTGGGCCCCAATGCGTATTTTAAGCCGCCACCAGATGTCAATAGCCGTCAATCAGGTCAAATTTGAGTTGGAAGTTGTCAATCAAGCTGTCAGTGTCAACGTCACGGTGCTCGCGTGGTCCGCACATGGCCCAGGTGTGGTCGAACTCCATTGTGCCTATACCAGTATATGTGTTCTGTGTACATCAGTGGTTGCTCCGCACGGGTTGGCATTGCTTATCACATGAAGGAACGACTGGAGGTGGTTGGCCGGTGTTATGGTCTTCACGGACAATTCGCTGAGACGAACTTGCCAGTGAAGAGAGGAGAAGCAAAAAGAGTTAGTCGTCATACGGGAAAGCCACGCGATCAAAATGATCGAGATCCCGCCGGAAACAATGTTTCCCCTCTTCCCGTGCATCCGAGTTTTATCCGCTTTAGGACACACGCCCCTCCGGCTTCTTTCCCAATTCGGCCTACTGACTCCCGAATGCTCGGGTATCAACAATCCACGTGTGTCGTCCGTCGGATGTTAGTCGAGTCGGTTGAGAGGAGAGGTTAATTTTGACATTTTGACACCCTCGTGTGTGTCCAACGCTGTCCAGCGGCGCTCGCGGCGGCTTAAAACTTCTTACCGCCCGTATCACATCCTGTGAGCCTCTTGCTCCTCGGGCGTCCATCTTCATCCCCGCGCTCCTCCGGGAAGACGGCGAGCGACACGTTCCACGGGCGTGAGTGCAAGTTACTGTACCATGATACTTGAGATGCCCGCGATGACGCGCGGTCGGACCGGGGACTCGCACTCGGTAAGCTCTGAATCGAGCTTTGACAATGAGCTGCATCTGCATCTACATCATCAGACGCAACTCATTCTTGCTCCATGAGCCAGTGAACCAAAGGTTCGGGCGAGCAGAATGTTTTACTGTAGTCTTTTTCACGCACTGGCACTGGCACTTCGTGGCATCGTGTGGTGGCGCTCCATTGTCCAGGTTGGTCAATGGTGACGCCAAGGGGGCTCCAGACCAATTGAAAGCAGAAAGCGATTTTTCTCCGGGGACGGGCCTATCGTGCGGCTTGTTGTTGTCGTTGCCTGGTTTTAATGGAGACATGTCACACCCATTTCCCGCACCAATGGACGCGCGTTCATTTCGTGAATATGTGTACAGACATAAACGATGTGCTCATTGTCGCAAGCCAAGCTGGCGCGAGGCGCGACGCGGGCCCAGACGCGGCAAGTGCCAGAGGAGTGCCAGGAGCGGTGACCGGTGACAGGAGGTGCCATCTGTCACCGTCCGCGGAGATGGGCGGGGGTTGGCATGCCACAATATTTCCCTCCGCCAACAAGCGTGATTGCCCCGGGCAATGGGCGAGATTGCCACCTCAGCTCGGTCCCACTCATCAAAGTTTTGCATCAATGCTAATCTCCTTGCTACACGGTACAGACCCCGGGTTGCGTTCGTCATCGCCGCGCTCACGCCTCTGAAAAAGGCAGAGGAGATGTGTTTGGCTATGTTTGAGGCTCGAGGCGTGCACGGCGAACATGGAAGCGAGGAGAACGACGTCAGTTGGTGATACGGCGAAGCTTAGAAGGACGTAGGGTGACAGGCGAGGAGGGTGCGAAGATGCGGATTCGGAGCTAACTAGGTTGGAAGTGGCCGGGGTCGCATCGGGAAGACGGGGGACGTTGTGAGCGAGTTCTGTGTGCATCTGCACCTTCGATCGAACCGCATCCCGCGGATCCACGCGGGCGAGAAAACCGAGCAGTGGATCTCATTTTCAAGATTTCAAGTAAATATAACCACCATGCCCAGCCATGTTGGCTGTCGGCATTTCCATTCCCCGCCGTGCCCTCTCCTCCCGCCCAAGGTGCGTACAAATCCCTCTCCTGGCGGCTTGACACCCCTGACGAGGACTCCCTGCATTTCCTCACAGCTCTTCGTGGCGTCTCCTCTCCACAACGGCGGAGGATTCATAAATCCAAAACCTTAACGCCATTCCACCGCGGACCGCAATTGCGCTTATAGGCAAGGTGTATTCCAGTGCGAAGGTTCGAAGAGATTCGCTGTTACCATCACGCATCCACGGGCCGCTCCATTCTTCTCCCTCCCCAAGGGCTATAATATTCCAACAGGCACTCCCACCCTCATATACACGCCCAACTACGCACACGCACGCACGCTCACTCCGAGCCTCGAACTGCTGCCGCTTTTCGGTGTACTTCCCATCCAGCACAGTACCGCACTAACCCACTTGCTCTCCCAAATATGTCCCTGGATCCACACTGGCGAGCCGAGCCACGCTCCCAGTCCCAATCTCACTCGCTAGTTTTCCCAGAACCATTCTCTTCCGTCTACACTCACTCGCAATGCGGTACGATGTCCAGCTTGGAAGCAGGTACAGACAGTCGGCATCCAGAGCTCCAGCACACTTCGTCCTCCGACAAGGAGCATAAAGCTGTCGAGTCCTCACATGCGCATGGCTCTGAGCAGGGGGAACATGACGCACCGGGCAACGTCTACGACTCTACCCGCTGCTTGTCTCCACGTACGCCTCCTTCAGGCGAGAAGTCGCCGAGCTCACCACAACCACCACCACAGGCGGACGAGCCACCCGTGACGGTGTCTCGGACGCACTTCTTCCTCATCATGATCTCGCTGTGGCTAGGCAACTTTACCGCATACTTCAACGAAACGACGGCGACGACTGCTATGCACGAGATTGGCTCGTACTTTGCCGCTATGGGCGGGGCCAACGCCAACGCCCAGGCCAACCAAAACTGGATCGCAACGGCGTATCTGCTCGGGTTCACCGTCACGCAGGTGCTGTTGGGGAGGTTCGCAGACATCTTTGGGCGGGCACGGGTCTTCTACGTGACGATGGCGGTGTTCGCAGCTGGGACGCTGTGGTGCGGTCTCGCGCAGGTGCGTTCCTTCTTTCTTCCTTTCTTCCTTTTCCTCTGTCGTGCCTTCGATATTGGAGTTCTTTCTTCGCGCATTGAACTGCGCTGGAAGATGTGTGCTTCCAATGAATTTTACCAGCCTGCTTCGTTTTTCGTTTCTCGGCCGCACGGGTGCTTCTTTGGAATTTCCCGACTGACATCTTATTTTGGTCCCCTACAGAGCATGAACTCGCTGATCGGCGCACGCCTTCTTCAGGGCATTGGCGCCGCTGGTCGGCAGTCTGTCGGCGTCATCATCGTCCTTGACCTCACGACAGCCCGGACACGCGGCATCTGGCTTGGTTTCTTCAATGGCGCGTCCGCATTGGGCCTTGCCCTTGGCCCCATCATCGGCGCTGTGCTCTCGACGTCGGGGCCTGCGTCTTGGCGCTGGCTCTTCTGGATAACACTCATCATGATTGGCATCACATTCTGCGTTGGGTGTTTCAGTTTGCGCAACCTCAAGGGCGCGACTAAGAACGAGCAGGACACGCTCCGACGGATGTTTGGCGAGGTCGACTGGATTGGCTGCTTACTCGCCGTAGCCATATCAGCCCTTGCGTGCGTTGCGATCGAGTCGGGAAACAAGATGTATCCGTGGAACGTGAGTCCTCCTTTACCATCGAAACCATCTTGGCCTTTCTCCTCCACCCATATGATCTCGTATCCGCGCTCCGCGGAATGGTCTTCCCCTGTCCGACATCGTCCTTGCTTGACCCTGAATTAACCTCTATCCTTATGCCCACAGTCCGCGCCCATTATTGCCATGCTCCTCGTCGCTATCTGCCTCGTGCCCGTTTTCGCCTTCTGGGAACTCTACTGCACGCGGCACGGACGTCATCCACCACCCCTGCTCAACATCCGTCTCCTCCAGATCCGTAACATCCCCCAGACGTGCATCATCAACTTCCTCACTGGCGCGGCCTACTTCGGCTGTGTCTTCTTCCTACCCCGGTACCTCGTCGACGTCCGCGGCTCCTCGCTCGTCCAGTCGGGCGTGCAAATGTTCGGCCTCACTCTTTCCCTCGGCGCGTTTTCTGTCCTCGGCGCGAACATCCTCGGCCTCACGGGCAAGGTCAAGGCCCTAGGCATTTTCGCAGGCGGACTGTACGCGCTGGGCTCGGGCCTCATGCTCCTCGTCACGCGTACGACGCCTATGGCACACATCATCGGCTTTGGCGTCCTCGCAGGCACTGCAGCAGGGCTGCTCTACCAGCCCGCGCTCGTGGTGGGCCCGATGAGCGTGCGTCGCGAGGATGTCGCGGGAATCTCTGGTTTCCTCTCCTTCCTCCGCACGTTTGGGGGCACGGTCGCCACAGCGCTCCTCACCGCCATCTTCGAGACGAGCTTCACAAGCACACTCAATGCACAGGGTGTTATCCCTAAATCCCTCGTGTCACAAGGTCTAGCACTGGCGGACGCCGTCGCAGCTGCGGACGCGTACGAGGTGACGTGTTCGTGGGCGGGGCAGTACGCGGCGAACCTCACGCAGACGCAGTGCGCGGCGTGGGACAGTGATGTACGCGAAGCGCTTGTTGGCGCGTACAGGCTTGGCCAGTGGCCCGCCGTCGCGTTTGGCATCGTGTATGCGATCGGGTGCGCGTTTATGAGTGGCGTGGACTTCAAAGTTCAACAGCAGTGGCCGTGGTCTACCTGGAACTGGAAGCGGAGACGAGGAGGGGAGAGTGCCGAGGCACTCGAGAAGGGGGCCAGCAGCAGCTGAGCCGCCTAATCTCGGGTCTGTTTCTTCCCCCTTCTCGTTTTCATTCCTCGACATCTGTCCCCGCATCTGATCTCCAATGTCTTACATCAGAATCTCAGCTTCGTTGCCTTTTCTGCCCTCTTCGCCATGCATCCAGTACCCAGGTCGCGCCACATCCTCCTCTCGTCCACTCGTCGTCTTCAATTGCACTTGCAATAATCGTTGATCCTCTGCAATCATTCCACCTTGCACTTTGTATCAGTAGCATTCACCATCATTCAAATCCTGTTAGCGACATATACCTCCCTCATCACCTGGTTCCAGCCTAGACATTTTGCGGTTCCCTTAATCTTGTGGACCTGCTTCCCCCGGACGTCTGTTTTCGTACCTTCGCACACCATACCTCCATACATCCCTCGTACCTACATAATTCCCCTGTGCGAGCCCTTCTTCGCACACGGATTAGAATTCCCTTTCCGACCATATATCAAACACCAGATCCGTACGTCCATACATACACAAGATATTGATAAACTCTGATAGACACGCTTACGTCTAATACCGCGAGCGCACCGCTTCTTGTTGTTGCCCTTTCCTCCTCCTGTTCGTGGCCTCGGCTCGCCCTCTTGCAGTGCGTCTCCTGGAAGACGTTGCTGTTGTGTTGTGTTGTGTTTTCAAGTTGTACGATAACGTATTGGGGTTGTTTATTAGTTAAGTTAATAGAGTTACTGCAGTATTGATCATTAATGCATTCGTGGAGCTTATCTGCACATGCGTGTGCATGCGGGTGAGGATAAGAGGAGATAGACGCTGATAAGTGAATAAGCTAGGTACACGACGCTTCATTTGTCCGGTGGCCCACCCTGAAAACTTGACCGCATTTGTTGCTTCCGCGTGGCGAGTCAGAAAACTCAGCGTGAACGGCGTGCCTCATTGGCAATGGCAGTGACGAAAGCGCGAGGAGGCGCCGGGGCCCGGGATACTATGTATGCGTCACTAGAAGTGGATTAGAACGATGAATTGAACGCTAACCTTGTTGTGCAAGGTTGAGACAGTATGTGCGGTACGTTGAATGGAATTGCGAAGTCCAGGCACTCGGACGAGTCGGACCGGAGAAGGGGCGGGGACTGAGAAGCTTCTCTGAAGCTCCAGGGCGTCGAGTTGTGAGTCACGAAGAAAGAAGCGAACTTTAAAACCGACGCGTCTAGTTTGACTTCGACACTTGCTTTACGGTGCCATGTGCGGCCGCACCTTGTGGAGTGTTAGCGCGAGTTCTAGTGAGAAGTCGAGTCGGGTCTGGTGCAACTTGAATCGTGATCAGCGGGTCGAAGGCGCGGGCGAACGAAAGATTGGCGCGAAGTTGTCGTCGGCGTGCGGCATGGTGGTGAACGGGATGCTATACTGTACATGTGCCCCATGCATGCATGGTGCATGGTGTAGGATGTAGGCTAGGCACCGACCCACGATGATCTCGATCAGATTCGCGGTGCATAGTACGATCCCGGGCCGGCACCTGGGCAGATGATATCGGAGGCGGACGCTTCTGGATCCGCGACTCTCCGAGCCTGCGCGGATCGCGATGTGGTGCGAGGAGAGGAGAGGACGCGAGAAGGAACGGAGTAGCGGAGGTTACGTCCGAGATCTAGCGGGAGAGGGAAGTGGGATTACCAGGTCGAGGTGTGGGGTAAAGGTGCTATATGGTAAGGGTCGTCGAGCGCTTCTTATTTAGCTTGGAAATGCAGCGTCGGCGGTGTGATTTGAAACTGAAGATGGCTGGTCAGCGAGTGCGCTCCACGTCTAGAGATCGGTGCCGGTGCCGGTGGGCACTCGAGCAGCAGGCGAACAGTAGCACCAAGAGATGTCATGACGGAGGTCGGGGCGATGTTTGCGGGCCTTTTTGATCTGCCATTGTAGATCTACCAGGTGCTACCGCTCACGAGCGTGATATCCGGACTCTGGGGGGCTTGCAGTGTGGTGCATCGCGGTACCACATGCTCGGTGTTGCATGCATGGTGAGCTAACCATGACATTCAAAGAGAGTGAAACATAGCTAACCTATGTCTTCATGCCAAGATGGGTCTTGAAGCTATCTTAGCGGTTTAGGAGGATCTCAGAACGACAGCAACAAGTTAAGAGGCAGCCTCGGGATCCCAAGACGTGATATCGCAGGATGATAAATACACATCCCAATATCTGTGTATCATTAGTGAACTACGGGCTGAGTTTCGGGAAAACCAGCTTTGAGAGATTGTAGCGTCGCTTACCGGTATACACGAACAAGACGTACCGGGACCGGCGTTAGTACCACGCTATGTTCCCAAGTAAGAACTAGCGGATCAGGATCAGATGTGCAGCCAGCGATTATAGCAGACTATCGCTAAGCCGAAGGCGATGTGAGCGCATCACGAAGCGAAGGAGACTTGAGCCTGTGTCGCTTCGATGGAGCTAATCAAGGATTCGCAAGTACATAAACGATGGTGAGAGCGCGCAAGAGGGACACACAAGGGAGTACAAGAGAAGGTCGGACCGACACTTCCGCATCCAGATCAGTGCTCGATGCTTACTTCGGAGAATGCCGAAGTTTTGGCGTTGACAGAAGCGGTTCTGTAACTTCCAAGTAACTTCTGTCCAAGCCATTGGTGGCGCTTCTTTTCATGTCCACTTCGCCAGCTCCTAGGCCTCCACACCGCACGTATACATGTCACATTGAGTCTATATCTTTGCCTGGAGAATTCCATATCTGATAATTAGATCCCCACGTCTTCAGTCGAACGGTGCTCGAAACGTGCTCGCCTTCCGACTTGAAGTTGTGCTGGAGTCCGAGCGTTGGCCAAGAACATTATAGGCGCTCTTCATGTAGCCATACTCGTCTTTGTCAAAGTCGCACCGGTGAACCATGTGAGCGATAATTAATACCACCAGGCTCCCCCGTGTAAGCTCCAAGTAAACACCGCATTCTACGGGGGAACAGGGACGGATTCGCCGCCTCCAGCAGGCTCCGCCCGGGGAGACGCTCGATGAACTCCCGCACTATATGATACCCGGTGTATACCCGCCTTTCTATCAGCACCTGGTATCAATCAAAATATTGGAACACAGGGCCCGTGCCTCCGTGTACCTAGTACTGTATTGGTTATCTGAGGGAACTAACGCCAGCACGTTTGAGTTTGAACCTTACAATTATCCAACCGCTGATCAGACCTGGTCTCTTCCAAGTATGCTCATACAATCTGCTGACATGTGAATCTTCGCCAACCCGGCCGTTCTGTATAGCTTCCTGACTCTAATCTTCCTGATAATCAAGACACCCCGTTTTCCATACGACCGCACCGTGATGTTTGAATTTCTCAGCCGTCCGCGCTTCGGCGCTCAGCTTAGATCGAAGTTATGCATTCAACGAGGACTTTTCCGGATCACAGGGTCATTTCCGCCGTATGGAAGTGTGGCTTATCATTTACTTCATTGGATTGAGGAGAAGCTGTTAAAGAAGCGAAATATCAACGAGCCGCGCGTCTGAGAACCTTGTGCCAAATGCATGCTGGGTGGACCCCCGAAAGCCTGTTGTTTCGTGGTATTATAGAAAGCCGATGAGATGAAAGGCCGCCCCGCACCCAGAACGTAGGCAAGAGAGTCTCCTTAGAAGACATTTTGAGGTACTAGCCCGTTACAAGCTTCCAGGGATACGTGTGGGAAACGAGGCACACAAATAGTATCGATTGAGCCGGGCTGCTGTTGCAGAGCGCGAAACATGGGCAAAAACTGTGCCAAGCTGTCAGATATACATTCCTCTATCATGCTATATTACACTCTACGGAGATAATGACATATGTTCTAATTCAACACTTGAGCTTAAGCGCCAAAGAATATCGTCAACTAAAGGAAGCGAGCAAGTGTGGCGACGGTCAGCCACCTTGCCGAGCGGACTTTAAAGATCCGACAGCGTCAGTTGAGATGGTCTTTCGCGTCCCCGCCTCTTCCATTCCCCAACGTTACAAGGCCGCAACACTTGGTCTCGCTTCGAATCATCAACAATACTCTCCTTTTCTCTATCGAACTCGTCCTTATCGTTGTCAAGTACGATGGATACTGTCTTTATCTTGGTCGGGTTCATTTTCGAGCTGCATGTTCGGGCGCTTCTTGCTTGGCTCACGCTGCTCTCGTCCATCCCGCTGGTCTCAACCCACGCATCTACTTCTCAGGCTCGGGTTAGAGAAAGAAGGGTACTGTATATGCTGTATGCCTCCTATCAGGTCTTAGAACAGTTTGTCCTCTTCATCGCCGACGCCGCACATGTCTCCTACTCTCCGTACTTGCCCGCCGCTTCCCGACGAGACTCGCTGGCACACCACTCTGAGGGAGACTATCGAATGCCTGGGGGCATGGAAATATCCGCGCGCTCTTCTTTGCATAACTCGCTGGGGCTCACCTCAACTCCAGCCACTCGTACGCGTCCTGTTCACGTTCACGGTCATACGCTCTCCGGACCCATCGATACTCGGTCTATCTTGGCCAAATACCCGAAGGAGTGGCATAAGTCTCTCGAGCGCATCTACGTGGAGCACTCTGGTCGAAACCCCTTTGGATTCACGCCGCCCCAGGCCTCATCTCGCGTCCATCCTTGTGTTCCGGAAACCCCCTCTCCATGCAGCAACCTCATCTCCGAGCTTGACCAAGACGGCGCTAGCAGCCATGGTAGTTTCTCGTCGCCGTGCTCCCCTCGTGAGAGAGCTACTCCCATCGAGCGCGCGCAGATGTGGTCGTTCCGCTTTCCCACTGCTAGCCCTAGTGTCTTCTCTCCCGCTGCAACGTCCCAGCCCCGGACTCCCTTTCAGCATGAGCACGCAGCGGCGAATGGCACGTTCGGCTGCGGTGATCAAAGTGGGGACCTGCAGCTGAACCACGTCGTGGATGCGTCTCCTCTTGGCGACACGGTCCAGCATGAGCAGTGCCAACTCACCTCTATGGATAGTGACGTCTTTAACCCCGATGAGTACGAAGACGAGGCCTCCGGCGACATCGACCTCAGCCAATACAGTGCCGAGAGTCTTGACGATTTCTATCACGATGCTGACTTGGCTGACTCCTGCGTCAGCTTGACGCTCGTTTCCGGTGCTTCGCCCCGGGACTCCTCGAGCGTTAAGCCTGAGGCGTCCATCTCTTCTTCGGGTTCTTCTAGGTCTTCTGGCGAGCACGTCGCTCCTTCCTTCTCCCTCGATGACACCGCGTGTGTGGGCAACTTTAAGTCGCTCATGCAGTCTATCGCGTCGATGGAGCCTGTTTCTGCTCCCGCGGAGTAGAGATTTCCCACCCTTGGTCCGTTTCGCCATGTACCAATTCTTCGTTCACTGTCCCAGGATCATCGATCATTCTCCACCAGTCATCTTTGGTTTGCATATATACCTACCGCCACCCTAAATTAGCAGACTACGCACCGTACATGTATCCTAGTAGTCGCGTATTGTAGTATCCGTCGATAAATGTCCCATATTTTGTACATGTCATATCAAAGGTTCACAACGAGGAAATAAGGTGTTTGTTCGAATTTTCTCTTTCAACCTGATAAAATGTAATTTTTAGGAACGCGCGTGTGATAACGTTGCGAATTTCCACCAACTCGCGATAGAATGCTCCCTTCCAGACTTACCACATGCGCTGTACAAATCACACATGATGGAGCCAGACCAAAGAAAATTAAAATTGCTTGAAACAATGAATACAACATGAAGAACTGCGTAGATATCGTACAAAACCACGAAAGAAGTAGAAAATGAATGGGCAAACCACCGAGCACACGATACACACAAACCATTTCAGCGACGCTCAAACAGAACGAGTTTCGCCGCCTGATTTTGGAACGCGAACTGTAGCGGTTGGGTCAGATGAGGCTCCAGGCGAACGAATGGTGAACTGACGGATGAGTTAATACCCATAGCCGCCGTAGCCGTAGCCGCCGTAGCCGTAAGGGCGACGGTACCCGTAGGGGCGCCGTCCGTAGGGCCTGTAACCGCCGTAGCCCCCGTATCCTCCGTAGCCGCCGGGCCTGTAGTACTGGTTGGCGGCACTGAGGTCGCCCTCGGGCGCTGCTGCGCCTTCAGCGGGGGCAGCGTCGGGCGCCCCTTCCTCCGGCTGAGGAGGATGCAGATGAGCGTGGATGGTGATGGGGGACGTGAAGACGGCTTACGGTCTGCGCTTGCTCGGTCTGATCGCCCTGGAGAGTGTGTTACGTTGTCAGCGTAAATATGATACTTCGAGATGACAGAGAGAGATAGAGAGAGACGGTAAACGCACCTCGGCGTCGCGCTTGTAGAAGCCACCCCTACCGAAGCCCCCACCGAAGCCACGGCCACCAAAGCCGTTGAAGCCGCCGCCGAAACCGCCGAAACCGTTGTTGAAGCCGCCGCCGAAACCGTCGCCGAAGCCTCCGAACCCGAATTGCCTATCGAAAACGGGGATCAGCTGGGGATACATGAAGGTACATCACGCGTAGGAAAAGCTTACCTAGCTTCGAGCTCCTGCTTCTCGACAGGCATGGCGCCACCTTGAGTGGCGCCGAGTAGCGCTATGGTAACGGCGATGACACTGGAGAAGAACTTCATGTTTACAAATAGGATCTGAGGGGTGAAGAAGCTGATTCAATGTGTTGCCCGGGGATGAGAGGAGGAGGGACGCTGGATTTCCGCCGAAGTGAATTGACGGCCCCTTTTTATCCGGGAGGTGGTTAGGAGGCGCCAAGAAAAAGGTGGAGAACGGATCGGAGGTATATGTTGCGCCTGTGTAAGCAGGGACGGACCAGGCGCCACGAAGCTGGCCTAGATGTCGTGAATCGCGAGAGGGATCGGTCCATTGCGTCGAGATGTGTGGGTCTACGGAGGACACCTGAGAGCTCAGCTGGCTGGTGTGTGCCTGTGCGTGCCTTTGCGTCTTCGCGTTTACAAAACGGAAAGCCGGGCACGAGCGAGCGGGGACGGAGACTTGCTTCGGCAATGGTCATATTGTACGCCGAGAATGTGCAGGAGAGGCGAAATAGGCCCAGCTCGTCCCCCTATTGACCAGAGTGCATCATATGTACCTTGCTCAAGCGATTCCGAGTCGGAAAATCGTGGTGCCCCAGGTTTGATATTTGAGATTCTGCGTCGGATGAAAAGGAGGAGAACAGATCGGAGGTCTATGTTGCGCCTGTGTAAGCAAGGACCGGGCAGCGGCCACGAAGCCGGCCTAGATGACGCACGGGATCGATCTGTTACAGTAGAGCGAAATATGTGGGCCCACGGAGGCCACATGGAAGTTCACCTGGTGTGTGCCTGTGCGTGCGTTTGCGTTCTTGCGCTTGCAAAACGGACAGCAACATGCGAGCAAGAGAGGACGGAGACGTGCTTGCTCGTCGTATCGCCCCGCCCAAACGAATGAACAACTCACGGCACGACACGTCCAGACCGCGTCGGCCGCGCTGCACCCGGACGTGCAGACGAAGGCGCGGAAGGAGCTGGACAGAGTGGTAGGGCGTGAGTGAGGTACGTAGTACCGTGTGTCACGCGCAGACTTCAAATTGTGCTCGCATGGGGGCTGGTTGGCTAAGCCGCTCCGCAGGACTGACGTTCGAAGACCGACCGCGTTTATGCTCAATGCGTTCCGTTGGCGGCTCGTCAGCGTCGGCGGGTTCACCCACCGTGCGACGCGTGAGGTCGTCTGGAGCGGGTATAGGATTCCGAAGGGCGCGGCTGTTATTGCAAACCATTTCCCCTCAAATTACTCGTTGCCTATCCAAAGCGTCGAAACAGATGGATGAAGGATTGCGAACGCAAGCAGGGAAATTGCACACGATCCAGAGGTGTACCCGAGTCGGAGAGTTCGATCCGCAGAGGTGGATCGACGGGGAGGAGATGGTTAGGGGTGACGTGCGACTGAGCCGAAGCTTGGATATGATGCATCGATGACCGACAGCGAGAGGCTTGAGATAGTTTTTGTACGTGGGTGTTATGTTATCGTTCCACAAGCATGTTCTGTGGAGGTATCAGAAGCAGTGGATCTCCTGGTATGCGAGTACTCGCACCTTTTGGCCTGGTGTCTGTTTAGCCTAGGAGAGTTTGTGTGACGTATTCATGCCTGGGATTTCACCTTGCGGTATCAAATGATAGTACGCAGCTCGGGAGTTCAGCTTAGTGGACTCGAGCGAGCCCTGTGACAGTCGTGAATCAAGAACAACTTGCACACTGGGGTCTTGATGAACCTTCTCCGACAGATAGTTTCAATATCTCTGCTGGATGGTCCCTTGATATCGGTGCGCGTGCGTTCCGCGAGAGAGGTAGAGCCTGAATTGCTAACCCGGAGGTAGGACGTTTCAGGATCCAGTGGAAGACACCATGAATTGCAGCAAAGCTCTTGGAGAACGGTAGCAGGAAACGGTTGCGGAGGTTTGTTGTATTCGCCGATGTCTTCAGGACGCTGTGGGATGCTTGACCACGTCGTCCATTTCCCACGGGGGCAGACACGTCCTTTTCCTTCCTTTTCCCATCGACAAGCATGAACTCATCCTCGCGCATCCTCGACCCAATGCTTTCAGTGATATGCTTTGACTTGTACTTCTTGGCTGAGATCTACACACTTCATCTCACGTATTCTCTTACTCATCAAGACCAACCCTACCCTTCAGAGCGCCGTGATATCGCCCCAGTCTGTAAGTTCTGGCATACGTAACTCTGTCTACCCCAAGTCTCTTCTCCCGCATATTCTTCAACGAGCGTCTCAACTTTGCCAATCTAGACTGTCATCTTCGTCTATCTGCCTGTCAAAAGATGGAAGTGCACATCACGGACTAGATCGAGCGGTACTCATCTGAGTTCGACTATCCCTCATCTATCACTTCTCTTGGAGGATTCACATTGCATCAGCGTCCTCGCTGTCGGCAGGCTATCTCCTCTGTTATGCTAGAAAAGCTTCGAGGCGCTCAACTTGCGATCAACCGTCACAGCTGTAGTGGTTTGACGTCGTTAAAGATGCGTATGTTACCAAGCGCGAGCGACCCACTCGAAGCGCCTCAGTTTCTTACAGCCGCGAGTGGCCAAAGTTAACCTGTTTTGACTGACGCATCATTCCTCCTTCCAAAGCCGTCTACCATCTTCTCATGCTTTCTTGCCTAGCATATCAACGGCAAGTCGTGGATTTGATACTCGATGCTATGAGCTCACATGACATGCTTGTCTCTATACATGATAAAACGCGACACATCTCACTCGTCGTAGATATCGCCAATCGTCTCGTCCAGCCTCTCCATATTAACCTCTGGCCTCCTTGGGCTCATGTGGCACGGAAACGAACACGGCCAGTGCTCGGCTTTAACAGCTCACTAACTACGAATCTGGGCTCAGCATGATTGGGTTGCGACTTGCAGCCAATGGGCGGAGAAAAAGCGACCATCCTCCCTATCCAGCGAACCAGAGCTCGAGTGCCTTTTCCCTATCATGGTGGCAGCGGGGAAGCCTACTCTCTGAATAGGAACGTGATAGCTACATCAAAATTCAAATGATGCTGCTGGTCTGACTCTTGACACGCCATGCTGTTTTGAAAGGGAAGCTTAATGATACTCCCAAACCAAACCCTTGCCATAGTCCAACGGATATTCGAAGCTGAGGACTCCCATAGCAGTAGTGGGGCCCTGGTATAAGCAAGGAAGAAAAGGAGCAATAGGAATATTGCGCACCAATTACCGGACATGTCGATCATATTATCGAGTAAACGGCCACTGAAGCATGGGAGTGTGGAACGTTCCTCGGGGCTGTGCTCGGCGAAAGAGGTCACCTCAGCTTCCTTTTCGTAGCCGCAGGAAAAAAAAGATAGCCTCGACGCAACCTCGACGCAACCTCGACTCGACCTCGACTTTAATATCGGGTCAACTATCCGGGCCGGCTTTCCACCTGGCACCCCGGCGCTGCCAGAGCCAGATTCCCAAACGAGCTTGATGTTGATGTTCGAGTTTATGTTAAACTTTCTTTGTTTCAGTGATGGTGACCCAGCCCCGTGGAGGAGCAGCACGAGAGTTCAAAACGAGAGTGAATAGCATGATCCAAGAAACAAAATTATGTCTACATGCGAAACTTGCAAAAAAATCACTAAAGCACGAAGCCGAGTTTAAAAAGAAAAGGCAAGAGGGCCATACTGTAACTGTAATAGAGCGGTGGGACAGGAGACAGGAACGGGGGGATACTGTGTAGTAGGTATATATCCTGGAAATCAACAGGGGCGACTAGTCATTACCAAAAAGAGAGTGTATGCGACGGTGATCAAATCAGTCGAGATGGCGAGAGGAAACAAGAAAAACAAAAACAAAAACAAAAAAAGGAAAGAGATGGTCATGGGTATGCAAGTTCCCCAGATGGATTAATCAAAAATTAAACGTCCACTTGCGTGCTACCGATCCGCACCGGACGCGTTCGCGCTCGTCGTGCTCGTCTTCAGCGACCGCTTCGAGCCAAACTTCAGCTTGGTGCTGCTGAAGAACCCGCCGCCCGAATTGCTGCCCGTCGAGCGCAGCGACCACGCCGGCGACGTTGGCCGCGCGTGCTCGCCGTGCACATCGAGATGGTCCATATGCTCGTGCGCACGAGCCGCCTGTCCGCTGTCCGCGCCTGGCGTGTGGTTGTTGCCATGGTGGTGATGGTGGTGGTGTCCGACCGTATGCCGCCCGTCGCAGCACGCGCGGACGTTCTCGAGACCCTCGAATCCGCCGTCGCTCATGCTGTCTCCGTGCAGCTCAAAGTCGAGGTCCTCGCCTTCCGCAGCAGTGGCCAGCGCGACGTGCTCAAACGACTTGCTCGGGCTGTACGGGCTCTCTGCCGTGCCGCCGACCCCGTTCAGCCGGAAGTACTCCGCCGCGGGGGTACCGGCACGCCTGCCGATCGAGTTGCGGGTGCGTGTCGAGAGCTGCGAGCGCGAGCGCGTGTCGCCGCCTCGAGGGGTCGTGCTCCATGGGCGACCGGGACGCTCGCTGTGGGTGGAACGCTGGGAATCTGGCGAGGCCTCGAAGAAGTGCTCCTCAGTGACCTCGGTGCTGTCTGGACGAGGGCTGCCTGGTACTCCGCCTATCATGCCAGAGCTTGGGCGCGCGAGAAGGTACTTGAGAGCCTAGGAAAACGAAACGTTCAGCTCGACCTGAGATGAGGAACGGAAAAACAGATACCCACATTGAGCCAGATGTCGTGCCTCTCCTTTGTCGGTGCAGTGAACTTCATTTCCCGCTGCGGTGTGGAGACCACAATGCTGTACTGGTACAGACCAGGCGGCATCGGGTTGGGATCCAGCACAGACCGCACGCCTTCGATGTACGCTAGAATCAAAACCACTCAGCATTCTCAACTTTAACCCCTCAGCACGCATGAAAAACGTACCAGACTTTGCACTAGACTCGGACACGTTCGATGAGCTTGGATCTGCCGAGCTCCAATACAACGTCCGCGTGTACGGATGCACCCAGAAGAACCGCGGATGCCTCTTCTCGCCGTGCCCCTTTCCAATCGTCCGCCTCGTATACTTGTAGAGGAATTCGCCAATCATGGTCTGCGTGATCGCATGAATGACCGTCGGATCCGTCGAGCTTCCCGGCCCGCCAGCCATGCCCATCGCGCCCATCGCACCGGGCATTCCAGACGCAGCACCAGCAGCACCAGCGAACCCAGACTTGCTCGGCGTCCCAGGCGCACCGCCGGACATGCCCGACAGCCCCGAGTTGGCGGAGCTGAAGTTGCCCGCGGAGGTCTGGCGCGACACGAACGGGTTGTGCTCCGACGACATCGACGAGCGCGGGCTGAGCTGCGAGCGCTGCTCATTGCTCCACGACGGCGTGTGCCCGTGCCCGCTGTGTGACTGGGTGTTGGCGGCGCTCCTGAACGAGCTCGTGCTGGGCAGCTGGCGCAGGGCTCCAGAGCCGGGCGGCAAACTGGAGCCGTGCTGCCGCGGGCCATGGCCACTGCGCACAGAGAGCATGCTTCCGAAAGTGGGCGTCGTCGCGCGCTGGATGAGGTCCGGTGGCGGGGGTGACGACGGTCTTGGTGGACGCTCGTCGGCGGAAGAGGGGAAGCGTCGCTCGGGGATAAAGTTCGGTGGTGGCATGTGTGCGCTTGCGTTCTGTGACGGTGGAGGTAACTTGGGTGGTGGGGGAACGGCCATCGTTGGGGGCCTGCTCCTGTCAACAATCGAGGGGACTGCAGAGACCGTGCGCGATCGATGCGAAGGCGAGCTAGTAATGTCGCTGAGTCCCATGGCGCTTTCGATCGTGACCCGGCGGTCGGAGAGCGACGTCCGTGGACGGAGGACACCCAGTTCTGAGGCCGTACCCATCGACTCGCGGTCGCCGGCACGTAAGGTGGTGTCGCGGATCGTAGCGTTCGGAGAAGGAGCGTTGCTGCTTGCAAAGAGGGAGCCATTGACAGGAGCGGGAGAAGGAGGGGGAATAAGCTGGAAATGCTGGCTAGAGGACGACCCGACACGAACGAACGCAGGTGCAATATTCGGCGAACCAGGTGTAGAAGGTGCAGGCGTAATAGGCACAAGCGCAGTCAAGGGCGAAGAAGAGGGAGCGGATGGTTTCCAGTCGTCCGTCTGGATAGACATCTCCTTCGACTCGGGCTTGATCTCCGCCTTCGTCTCAGGAACGTCATTCGCAGCGGCAATGGGCACCGGGACCTCGACGATCTTCTCGACGATCTTTTCCACCGGGACCTCGACGAGACGCTCGACGACCTTCTCGACAATCTTCTCCACTGGGACCTCGACAAGGCGCTCGACCACTTTCTCAACGATCTTCTCGACCGGCACTTCGACGATCTTCTCCACTGGGACCTCGACAATCTTCTCCACATGCACCTCGACGATCTTCTCTACGGGCACCTCGACGATCTTCTCCACAATCTTCTCCACCGGTACTTCCACGATCTTCTCGACCTCCACGGGCACCTCGACCCTCACCTCCTTGATAACCTCGACGATCTTCTCGACGATCTTTTCAATCGGCACCTCGACCCTCACCTCCTTGATGACCTCCTTGACGACCTCGACGATCCTCTCCTCTGGAGCGGGCGCGTCGGCCATCCTCTCGACAGGGACCTCCTTGATGACTTCCCTGACGACCTCGACGATCTTCTCGACGGGCACCTCCCTGATGACCTCCACAGGCACCTCGACGATCTTCTCCCTCTCCACAATCTTCTCTACGGGCACCTCGACGAGCCGCTCGACGACCTTCTCGACAATCTTCTCAACCAGGACCTCTTTGATGACCTCGACAGGCACCTCGACGATCTTCTCGACGGTTACTTCCTTGACAACCTCCACGGGGACTTCGACGATCTTCTCCTTCTCGACCTCGACGATCTTCTCCACGGGCACCTCGACAATCTTCTCGACAGGCACCTCGACGATCCGCTCCACAATCTTCTCGACGATCTTCTCGACAGGCACCTCCCTGATAACCTCAACAGGCACTTCCACAATCCTCTCAACCTCCACCGGCACCTCCACCTCCCTGACAACCTCCACCACCCGAGGCTCAGGCTCCGGCACAACAGGCGCGTCCACACCCCTCTCCACATACTCCACCACCGGGCTCGGGCTCGGGCTGCGACCCGAGCTGGCAGCCTCCTTATCAGAAAGACTAACCACACTCTCAAACGCCTCCGCCTTCCCTGCACCCGCGAGCCTCCTCGTCTCCTCCGCCTCCACCCGCCGATCCCCCTCCTCGTCATCCTCATACCCATCATACTCATTCTCCGACACCGTCATAATCGAATGGAAATCCTCCCTCGACTCCCCAAAGCTCGTCCGCGACACCCCAACCATACCCACACCCCGCACATCACCGCGCGAGCGCATCGGCGTCTCCCGCCCCGCAAGCACAGAGTGATAATCGTCCATATCCGTCTCCGTCTCCGGCTCCGTGCCCGTCTCCGTCGCGTCGCCCTCGTCCATCTCCACATCGGACTCGAGCGCTCCGGGGACTTTAGCGACGGCAGCGGCGAACTGGGGCGGAACACCGCGCAGCGTGCTATCGGCCGACACAGTAGGCGAGGCAGCAGCGTACGCGGCAACGAGATTCGCCGTGTTCTGCGTGAGCGTCGTGCGCCTGTCGCGCGTATACGCCCCGCCGTCCTCGCTGTCATCATCGTCCTCCGCGTCCGACTCCGTCACAGGCGCAGGTACAAGCATGCGGCGGGGCGAGCGCGCCGGCGAGCGTGCCGCCGACGCCGGGAACAACGACGACGATGACATAGCGGGAATAGGGAACGTAGACGGGTCCGGAAGCGAAGTCTGTGCGTCCGCGTCGACCTGTTCGATTCGTGTCCGTACGACAGGGTGAGAAGAGCGCAGAAAAGAGGAAGAACCCATAAACCCCCAATCAAATGCGCACCACAGTGATAAAGAGACGTACATGCTCCACCTGCTTCTCCACCTTTTCTTCCTCCCGCCTCACCTCCACGTCCTTCACTTGCACCTCGTCGGTCTGCGACCCAGCCTCCACCCCTCCCTTCTCCTCGACAGGCGCAGGCGTAGGATCAGTCTGACACCCCACCTCCGCCACCTCGCGCTTACCCCCAATCCCCTCCTCGCCGTCCAACCCCAGCTCAAGCGCAAGCGCCTCCGGCGCCCCACCGACCATGCTCGTCGGCCTTGCCTCCTGGAACCCTGCGCCGCCCCTAGCGCGTTTGCTCGCAGCGCCCAGGGCAGCGGTGCCCCGCCCGCGGCCGCGGCCCCGCCCAAAGACGTTGAGCAGCGTCTGGCGCAGCGGAGAGGGCTTGGGCGACGTCGGCTGCGACACTGACGGGCCCATCGCAGATGCAGATGCAGGCGTTGGGCTGGTGGGCACAGCGGCGACGGCAGCGCTCAACGTGCTGGCACCGCGCAGAATGTTCGCGAACGCGGGATCCATCCCGTCGATCGACGTCGGGCGCGAGGGCGGCGGCGACACGTCTTGCGTCGGCTCGTCGTCGTCCATTTCTTCCTCTTCTTCTTCCTCATCGTCTTCCTGTTGCTGATGGTGGGATCGAGGCAAAGGCGGCGCCGGACTGTCGAGCGATGTCCGCTCAAACGACGACCTTGACGATCCGCCGGTGCGCGAAGGCGTGTACATTCCCATACCCCGCCCACCGCGTCCGCGTCCGCGCCGGCCACGACCAACGCGGAACGGCGTCGGCCGCCTCGTCGAGATGCTTTCTTGCTCGCGGTGTGACGTGGGCAACCTTAGATCGTCCTCCTCTTCCTCGGGCAACACATCCTCCTCCACCGGCCTTCCATCAAGAATATCCCCGTCTTCATCTTCCTCCTCCTCCTCCCCTCCCCGTCTCGAGCTATCCATACTACCCCGCCCATTCGCACCCGCGAACTTGGCCGTCAAATCCCCAACCAACGACCCCGGCCTTGTCGAAGAAGACACCCCGCTCCGCTCGCGCAGATCCTTATTCGCCGCACGACGCAGCGCCTGAATCTCGCGCTGCGCATGCGCAAGCTTCCGGTGCAGCGCCTCGATCTCCTTGCTCGCCGCGCTCTGCTGCCCATGGCCCGGCTTCGACGGCGTGCCCTCCGGCGACTCGTCCAGCACATCCTCAAACGCATCCGGCTCCGCGCCCCACACATCCCCATGCCGGCGCCTGCCCGTGCCCGTGCCCGGCCCCGTCATGCCCGACCCAGGCACAGCCGAGCCGCCAAACGGATCATCCATCTCGTCCCGCCCAGGCGTCTGCGGCGAGCCGCCAAACATCCTCGCGCCACCGCTCCCGCGCGTCTTGGCCCTCGCAAGCTCCGCGCGCACCTGATCGAGCGCGCTCTGCAGATCGCCCTTATCGCGCACGAGCCCCGCGGCGTTCTTGCGCGCCGTCGCAACGTCCGCCTCGTGCCTCGCTCTGAGCTCCTCGTGCGCCGTGCGCGCGCGGTCGAGGTCGCCCTTGTGCGTGTCGGCGGACGTCTGCGCGGCGGTGAGCGCCCTGGTGAGGCGCTTGTGCTCTGCCTCGAGCTTGGATGCTGAGCTTTGCGAGTCGGAGAGCTGCACGCGCAGCTCTTGGAGGGTTACTTCGAGGTTCCAGTTTTCTTCCTTGTACTTGTCTGTGTGCCGATGCATATGAGAAACAAGCGATGAAGGGAGATCTAATAGTGAAAAAGGACGCACCGGCGCTCTGCTCCTGGGCACGCACGGCCGCGCGAAGCTGCTCAACGGTCTTCTCGAGGTCGTCCCGCTCCTCCTTCATGTCCTGGATCGCCTTGTCGCGCTCGCCGAGGAGACTCTGGAGCCGCCGGACCTCGGTGAGGAGGCCGCTGCCAATCTCAAACGCGAACTCTGTGAAGAGAGTGTGGTGTTAGTCATTCATGCCACATAAGCCAAGGCCGAGAGTGAGAGAACTCGTGTGATGGAAAGCCGCAAATGTGTCCGAGGGCGTGTTGCGCCAGTGACAAGAATGGTATAGCACAGTGACGCGTGAAAGGGAAAGGAAAGGCGAGGCGTAAGAATGAGATAAGTGGATGCTGTGCTCACCGACGTCGTCTGCGCGATGGGCAGCATTCTTGGCGCGTCGAGACTGAGCAGCGGACGACGTTTTGGCGGGGCGTTCGTGATGCTCGTGCAATGACTCGGCCGAGGGCTTGGGCACGGAGGGCGTGCCGTTGGACTGTAGGGAATGAGATCGGGAGAGAGCGTAAGATCGCGAATGCGCAGACACGTTCAGCAAACGTGTTCCGTCAGCAGGCCAGAACCACGCACCGTACCGCCAAAGGCGCCCGAAAGAGAGGCGTTTTCGGCGTCCCAGCCCTTGATGGTGTCGATGAGCTCCCTGTACTTGTCCTTGGCCTCCTCCACGGTCGGAGCGCCGGGCAGGTCGTCGTGGCTGCCTGTGAGCAGGGCGTCATAGTCCTGGAGCTGCCTGACGCGCTCCTCGAGCTCGACCTGCTGAGCGAGGACGCGCTGGCCGAGTGTGCCTGCCTGCTGGAGCTGCTTCTCTTTTGCATCGAGGAGGAGCTGGAGGTGGAGTTTGCGCTCGAAGGGGGAGGCGGAGTAGGAGAGGGCGCGGGGGGAGGCTGCTGCGGTAAGGTCGAGGGGCTGCGGGTGGGATGGGGGAGACGGGGAGTCGGATTGCAGAGTCGCCATGGCTATGGCTGGCTGAGCGCCGCTCGTGCTCTCGTGGGTGGCCGTGTGATACTCCTCTCTTCCTTGTCGTGTCCGTGCTGATCTGTTGATTTCTTGTGCTGGCTGTGGCCTGCAGCCTTGAGTCGTGTGTTGTTTGTGGTGGTGGACGGCCGACCGCAGAAAAGAGGAGGAGGACCAGACGACGAAAAGCAACCACCCAAGCCTCGTTTCTTCCCTTACAAGGCCGCACTTTCTCACATTGGGCATCTACAAATGTCACGTGATAATTCCTTTGTCCGACGCTTTCATTTCCTCGAATAACGCTTTCATCTCATTCACCTTCTCTCCAAAAAGTGGCCTTCTGTCGTCTGATGGGTTTTCAGCAGAACAAGGCGAAATTTTCTCGGTCTAGGGCTGACGCGTCCCACCCGACATCACCTCATCTCCAGCATGTACGTAACAACTTCATTATGCACTACTCGCTTCGTCCCACATCTTTGACAGTTTGACACCTCTTATTCGCCTCCCTGCTTTCTCGGTGCCTGTGCGACATGTCACTTCCAGCAACTCTCTTAGACCAGTCCTTCAAAGAGAGCTCTCATGTCGCCCGAAGAGTGTTCGTAACGCCAAAACCTCCATACAACGAACTCGCGGAACAATAACGTAACACGCATGTACATAAGCTATCTCCATCCTCTCGCCCTCGGGCATCTTTGCCGCTTCAAGTTCCGGCGCATCGCCCATCACGCCCCGCCCAACATCCTCTTCACCTCCCCCTCCCCGATCCTATGCTCAAACACGGTCTCAAGCGGATTCACTTATGTTCGACGCGTCGCTGAACGCCACGGAGTCGATTGGCGCTGTCGGGTTTTCCCGCAGCCGGAACAGAACGCCCAGAGGATCAGCGCCGTGTTAATGAACATCGATCTATGTTTGGGTGCTCCGATCAGTAGACCGTCTAACTTGAGTTTGTGCAGGCTCGGAATGAAAGCGGGAATGGCTGTCGGACGTATGCAGACCGAAACTGGGCCTGAGTGTAACACAGAACGCACCGTCGCCCGAACCCATACGCAAAAAAACCGGCTGTCCCTCCCACCCCCATCTATCCCCCTCTGCGGGTCGAACTTTTCAGGCTCGGGGTATACCTTCGGATCGTGCGTAATTGACCCGCTCGCGCTTGGCGCTGCGAAGCTGCTTAGCCAACCAACTCGCAGTGCGAACCCAGTTCGGGCTTTGTCTGTGGACCACGACGCACATACGTACCTCACCCGCGCCCCGCCACCGCGTCCAGCTAGTCCTGCACCTTTGCCTGTGCGTCCGGGTGCAGCACGGCTGCCATGACCGCGATTATGATCGCCGATTTGGTCAGGACTTGTCATGCCATGAGTTGTTCGTTCGTCAGGCAGGGTGGGACAGCGAGCATGTGCCGTATCACCTGCACCGAAAATAGACTCATCGACATACGCCAGCTCCTCATCTGCGATCCTATACTCCTGAATACATGGCGTCCCTTTGACGATGTCAGGGTGCGTCTTTGACCTGCTGAGACGCCGAGCGCTGGGAGCCTGCGCTCCTTCTTTGACGCTGTCGACGTCATGGGTTCTCGCGAGCTGTAAGCCATGGAAGGAGGTAAAAGAGGTGCCACACCAACGAGGCGCTTCTGTCCCTTTTGTTTTATCCCGGATCATTATTGTGATGTGAGCACATGTCATCTCTCCATGTCCATGCACGGCTCTTGTGCTCCCATAGGAGCGAACCCACACATAACAAGCGAGCTGATCTGCTGTTGGTGCCATGCTGTCTGATAAAGCCGTAGTAGTAGTAACACACGAAATCCATGTTTATTGCCCTCTGCCGACGGTACAGTGACTAAAGCGTGCGGGATAACAGACCATGGGCTTGATGAAGATATGAAACCCTACCCATTCGAAAAATACAGACAACGTCCTACACGCCAAGCAGACTCAATCGCGGATGAAAAACGGGAACTGTTATTTACTCAGTATTGTATGACTCTGTTCCGGGTCTCCCAAAGGCGATGGAGCTGATCGCCTCCCCATATCCCCCGCCCTTTTCATCGAGCTGTGCATGCTCTCGGATTGATAGAATTAACCAAGGCCCTAGCATATAGATGACTATGCATGAGAGCACCTCACACACGCCAGCTATTGCATTTGACTGTGTAACACATGTTGCAGGTAAATAGGCTCGAGAACCTCGACATAGCGGACGTGTTATGAGTCCGAGAATGTCGACCCAGCGGACGTCGGCCGGGGGTCGAGCAATCTCGCATCGGCCGACAAGTATATGTAGTATAGTGTACAATACAAATATAGTAGGTACATGAAATTAACAGTGATGTTGTGGCGTCGGCCGACGTTCAAGTACTTTTAAATCAGCCAATACATACTCTATAGTAGTGTATGAATCAATAAAGTATGAACATTTGAATGAAGTTGTATCGGCCGACTGGATGTTGTCGCTTACATGGGCGGCAGACCAAGTCCGGCAGAGTATGACAGGGTCCGGCAGGACTCCGGCAGGTAAATTGCAAGTGGCATTATACAACAGATAATATTAGTCAAGGCTGTAGGTGTTATCTCACTCTCAAGCAATTGGTATATGATATTGAATGCCGAAAAAGCGGCAGAGCGGCAGAGCGGCAGGCCGGCAGAGCGGCAGG